AAACCTATGGCTCACTGCGGACGCATATATTTCGGAGCCTATGGCCAATGCGGACGCATAGTTTTCGGAGCCTATGGCCCACTGCGGACGCATAGTTTTCGAAGAATATGGCCCACTGCGAAGGCATAGTTTTCAGAACCTATGGCCCACTGAGAACGCATAGTTTTCCGAGCATATGGCCCACTGCGAACGCATAGTTTTCGAAGACTATGGCCCACTGCGGTCGCATAGTTTTCGAAGACTTTGGCCCACTGCGGACGCATAGTTTTCGAAGACTATGGCCCACTGCGGTCGCATAGTTTTCGAAGACTTTGGCCCACTGCGGACGCATAGTTTTCGGAGCCTATGGCCAACTGCGGACGCATAGTTTTCGAAGACTATGGCCCACTGCGGTCGCATAGTTTTCGAAGACTTTGGCCCACTGCGGACGCATAGTTTTCGGAGCCTATGGCCAACTGCGGACGCATAGTTTTCGAAGACTATGGCCCACTGCGGTCGCATAGTTTTCAAAACCTATGGCTCACTGCGGACGCATATATTTCGGAGCCTATGGCCAATGCGGACGCATAGTTTTCGAAGACTATGGCCCACTGCGGACGCATAGTTTTCGAAGAATATGGCCCACTGCGAACGCATAGTTTTCAGAACCTATGGCCCACTGAGAACGCATAGTTTTCCGAGCATATGGCCCACTGCGAACGCATAGTTTTCGAAGACTATGGCCCACTGCGGTCGCATAGTTTTCGAAGACTTTGGCCCACTGCGGACGCATAGTTTTCGGAGCCTATGGCCAACCGCGGACGCATAGTTTTCCGAGCATATGGCCCACTGCGAACGCATAGTTTTCAAAACCTATGGCTCACTGCGGACGCATATATTTCGGAGCCTACGGCTCACTGCGGACGCATAGTTTTCCGAGCATATGGCCCACTGCGAACGCATATATTTCGGAGCCTATGGCCAATGCGGACGCATAGTTTTCGGAGCCTATGGCCCACTTCGGACGCATAGTTTTCGAAGAATATGGCCCACTGCGAACGCATAGTTTTCAGAACCTATGGCCCACTGAGAACGCATAGTTTTCCGAGCATATGGCCCACTGCGAACGCATAGTTTTCGAAGACTATGGCCCACTGCGGACGCATAGTTTTCGAAGACTATGGCCCACTGCGGACGCATAGTTTTCGAAGAATATGGCCCACTGCGAAGGCATAGTTTTCAGAACCTATGGCCCACTGAGAACGCATAGTTTTCAGAATCCATGGCCAACTGCGTACACATAGTTTTCACAACCTATGGCCCACTGCGGACGCATAGTTTTCCGAGCATAGGGCCCACTGCGAACGCATAGTTTTCGAAGACTATGGCCCACTGCGGACGCATAGTTTTCCGAGCATATGGCCCACTGCGAACGCATATTTTTCAAAGAATATGGCCCACTGCGAACGCATAGTTTTCAGAACCTATGGCCCACTGAGAACGCATAGTTTTCCGAGCATATGGCCCACTGCGAACGCATAGTTTTCGAAGACTATGGCCCACTGCGGACGCATAGTTTTCAAAGACTATGGCCCACTGCGGACGCATAGTTTTCGAAGAATATGGCCCACTGCGAAGGCATAGTTTTCAGAACCTATGGCCCACTGAGAACGCATAGTTTTCAGAACCCATGGCCAACTGCGTACACATAGTTTTCACAACCTATGGCCCACTGCGGACGCATAGTTTTCCGAGCATAGGGCCCACTGCGAACGCATAGTTTTCGAAGACTATGGCCCACTGCGGAGGCATAGTTTTCGAAGACTATGGCCCACTGCGGACGCATAGATTTCCGAGCATATGGCCCACTGCGAACGCATATTTTTCAAAGAATATGGCCCACTGCGGAGGCATATTTTTCGAAGACTATGGCCCACTGCGGACGCATATATTTCGGAGCCTACGGCTCACTGCGGACACATAGTTTTCGGAGACTATGGCCCACTGCGGACGCATATATTTCGGAGCCTACGGCTCACTGCGGACACATAGTTTTCGAAGACTATGGCCCACTGCGGACGCATAGTTTTCGAAGAATATGGCCCACTGCGAACGCATAGTTTTCAGAACCTATGGCCCACTGAGAACGCATAGTTTTCCGAGCATATGGCCCACTGCGAACGCATAGTTTTCGAAGACTATGGCCCACTGCGGTCGCATAGTTTTCGAAGACTTTGGCCCACTGCGGACGCATAGTTTTCGGAGCCTATGGCCAACTGCGGACGCATAGTTTTCCGAGCATATGGCCCACTGCGAACGCATAGTTTTCAAAACCTATGGCTCACTGCGGACGCATATATTTCGGAGCCTACGGCTCACTGCGGACGCATAGTTTTCGGAGACTATGGCCCACTGCGGACGCATATATTTCGGAGCCTATGGCCAATGCGGACGCATAGTTTTCGGAGCCTATGGCCCACTGCGGACGCATAGTTTTCGAAGAATATGGCCCACTGCGAACGCATAGTTTTCAGAACCTATGGCCCACTGAGAACGCATAGTTTTCCGAGCATATGGCCCACTGCGAACGCATAGTTTTCGAAGACTATGGCCCACTGCGGACGCATAGTTTTCGAAGACTATGGCCCACTGCGGACGCATAGTTTTCGAAGAATATGGCCCACTGCGAAGGCATAGTTTTCAGAACCTATGGCCCACTGAGAACGCATAGTTTTCAGAATCCGTGGCCAACTGCGTACACATAGTTTTCACAACCTATGGCCCACTGCGGACGCATAGTTTTCCGAGCATAGGGCCCACTGCGAACGCATAGTTTTCGAAGACTATGGCCCACTGCGGACGCATAGATTTTCGAGCATATGGCCCACTGCGAACGCATATTTTTCAAAGAATATGGCCCACTGCGGAGGCATAGTTTTCGAAGACTATGGCCCACTGCGGACGCATAGATTTCCGAGCATATGGCCCACTGCGAACGCATATTTTTCAAAGAATATGGCCCACTGCGGAGGCATAGTTTTCGAAGACTATGGCCCACTGCGGACGCATAGATTTCCGAGCATATGGCCCACTGCGAACGCATATTTTTCAAAGAATATGGCCCACTGCGGACGCATAGTTTTCGAAGACTATGGCCCACTGTGGACGCATAGATTTCCGAGCATATGGCCCACTGCGAACGCATATTTTTCAAAGAATATGGCCCACTGCGGACGCATAGTTTTCGAAGACTATGGCCCACTGCGGACGCATAGTTTTCCGAGCATATGACCCACTGCGAACGCATAGTTTTCGGAGCCTATAGCTCACTACGGACGCATAGTTTTCGGAGATTATGGCCCACTGCGGAGGCATAGTTTTCGAAGATTATGGCCCACTGCGGACTCATAGTTTTCCAAGCATATGGCCCACTGCGAAAGCATAGTTTTCAGAACCCATGGCCCACTGCGGACGCATAGTTTTCAGAACCCATGGCCCACTGCGGACGCATATGTTGCGGTTGTAAGGCGGGCTCAGTAAATGAAGTTGACAAAATTTTCAATTCTCATAAACATAACTGCGATTCTTAGGCACAGAACTAGAAAAACTAATAAATAACATCTAATTTGGACCACGTTAACAACCGGCAAACGTAACAGAAAATTCTAATAAAGTTAAACAAAAACGAATCCTTTAAAATCTTTAGCAGTTAAACGTGATTAAAAGTGTGTTATCTCCCTTTACTGACGGCGTGCCATACATTGAATATTCAAAGTTTTTTTTTAAGAACTTCAGTTAGGTAAAACTCACTGCTTTCTGATCGTAATTAGGTAAACTTCCAGTCTCGCATCAATCCCTATATACTAACGTGTCATTCGACGCCGCCGCAGTCCCTATCGGACGTCAGGGATCGCCCATACTTTGCTTGGAGATCAATTTACAGTCAGGGCACCATTTTCTGAGTTAGTGCGTTAATCCTTACGTTAAACAGATTTCCATAAAATAATCCTTCCACAAGGTTCTTTTGAAATACAATTAAACAATTTTGATATTTCTGGTTATAACGTAAATATCCTGAAACTTCGAAATGAAAATTTCTATCGTTTTTATCTTAATCTACGCCATCGCTTTATCCTGGTGTCAAGATGAAACAGTGTTTCACTGCGCTCCCAAGCCTGGTTGCCAGATTGCACAATGTGATCCGGTTGCTGTAGGATGGCACAGGCCAGGTTTCAACATTAATGAACATCTACATGACAAAGAGTTTCCGATTACGTGCAAATCAAAGAAAACGACAAAGTCCGGAAATAATGGAGACTGGCTTCCTATCATATCTAGGAACATCTTAGGCAAGTACTTCTCACTCTGGATAGTCTTGTTAGGCGTCCGTGCAAATATCCTAGGCCGCCAACCATAACTGTTAATATATTCAACTAAATAGAAATGCCGCATTTCAATAATAATTCCAATAAAAAAGTTCTAAGAAGGACCTGACTGTTTTGATTAATCGAAATTTTTCCTATTATTTACAAAAATTCCACCAAATCTATGATTTTATTTATATAAACAAAGACGGTTGCTTTGGAGTAAAAATGCGAACTTTTCAATCTTAGGTTACTATTGACTAACTACTTGGGTGCTGGGAATACTGAAGTTACAACTACTAAAACTAGGTATAAAACATTTCACACCTATTCTATACTACATCAAATGTATTTTACTTTATTTCATCACAGATATCAGTAGCATCAAATCAGAATTCAAAGATTTGAAAAAAAACGTCGATGAAAAAATGAAAAGCATTGATAGCTTTGGGAAGGAAATTTTAAGTTAGTATAAATGATTCAATTAGTCGTTACCCGACTTTCTTCAATGAAGTTTGCTGTTAATTTGAGCAAAGTTGACATAAGAACGTTAGATAACTAAAGGAAATGAAATTTGAAAAATCTACCTGAAATTTTGCTTTGATGCTTAGTTATTCTTGCAAAGATTATTAATTTTTACCTATATATATCACGCAGAAATTCGTGAGATACAGAATGAAAATACAGAGCAATCTGCCGAAATTACTGACCTGAAGCAGAGCCGTGCAGAATTGAAAAAAGGTTTGTGCAATGTTTATTAATATAGCGATCGATGCGGGGATACACAAATTCATTTACTGTATGAAATCCCAGAGAATGTATATTTTTCTAATAATTTTGAAACCTGGGCAGTGGAGTAGAATTCTGTCATGTGTTTGGAGTTTGTCGGTATTCCAAACGCTCTATATTCGGAATTTATGACTTTTATTGGTGAGAATTTAAAGTTAAAATTCATGTCAAGTCGGAGTCGATTTTTGAATAACTCGGAGTTTGTATTCGATGGTAACTTTTTGCTGCCTCTACAATCCTGTTTCTATCTGGACATACGAACTTAAATCTTAATAACCGGCAAATAAAATATTGTGTTCTAAAGTCATGAGTAGTCATGCAATTTATGACGTAATAAATACACCACAAAGAACAACACACAAAATTTGAAATCTTTATCTGCGCAACAAATGAAAACAAGTTGAATTAGAAATATGAATAACAGTAATTAGGATTGGTAACTCACAGGCATCCAGTTTTCTATGTGATCTTTCTTCCATTAGATTTGGTCCGACTTGAAACAATAAACGACAAGCTACTGACAGAATTGTACGAACAAAAGCAAGGAAACAATGAGATGAAGGAAGGTAAATCACGCAGATATAAGTCAAACTGGCAATTCTGTCATTGAATTAGACATTTTGTTTTTAGTAGATGCTGTTCTAACATACGTATATATTCTTCTATTCAGCAATAGGACGGCTTAAGGAAAAACTCTCTGCAATGGAGAAGACTCAACAGGTTCAATCTGGAAACCAACAGATACCGACGACAACAACCAAAACAACATTGAAACCGACTCCTTCCCCAGGTAAGCATTTATAATCAGAGGCGCAGTGAAGATCTCATTCAGGAGTTTAGAGCCGATTTTGATTCCACCGGAGTCGGGGCTGGAGTCAAATCTTTAAACTTATCGGTTTCCCAGAAAGCTTAGATTAGAAATTCCATATTTTCAATGGTAATAGTGAAAGTTTAATTTTTTACAGAAATTCAAGTTGTCACTTTATTAACATATGCTCACATACGCCCATGTCTTTCTTTCCAAATTTAGATTTTTTTGAGATTTCGAAGCTACAGTTGAAGTCAAAATTGATGCTAACTCAAAGTCAGATATTTCTCAACCAGGAGGCCGATTTTCTCACCTGTACATCCCTGTTTAATACCTACCATACCTTCACAACTGTCGTAAGCGTTTGTCTATAGTTAGCAAGAGTAATTTACTTCTTCCAAAATCTAGCGATCCGTGCTCTAAGAAGAGGTCTGAGACACCTATTGTGAAGTTTAGTGAAATTTGTCATGTGTAAATTAGATATGTGATAGAGGCAAAAAGTGCATTTTCAACGGTGGCGGAAACGCTTTTACACTTTTTAAATTTGTAAAACTGCAAACGAAATTCATTAAATTACAGAAAACTGCGTATTGAAGATTAGAAATATCTGTTATTTTTTTGTGATACATGATAACCATGATGTCAACTACGACGAAGCAGTTGATATTTGTAAGAAACGTGACGCACATGTTGGTTTGATTCGAGATGAAGTATCTTACAATGCGATTATGGATTACTTGAAGAAGAATATTCTAAAGACAATGACGTGGATCAAAATATGGACTGGAATCCACTTTGATCCAATGGTTATTGTCATATGCCTGTTCTATTTATACTTGTAAAATACAAGGATATGCTATTAGATGGGTAAAATGAGGGCAAATGCAATACAACAGCAGATATTTGAAAATATCACACTAGCGATCTTAAAAGGCAGCGATAACATTGTTACCAATCCGAGATATTTTACACATTAGTATAGTTGGACTTGCTGATTGAAGGAAACCATCTGTCCTGATGATTGTGATGTAAATATGTATGTCAAGTGAATAAGGAATCTGCTAGATGCTTGGTTTCTTCTTTTTCATTACTGTAGATTGCGCTCATAACACATCAGATCCTTTGAGTACAGGGGTCACTGTTTGAGGTTCCGTACTTTTGAAATGTAATACGTATGTACGAGTGATAACGAATATCTTAATCAGTGTTTAATTTTATAGGAATTGTGCTGTTCCTAACAAGTTAATACCCAGCCACATGAACCTAAAGTTTTTTTTACAGCATATAAGAGACTATTAAGAATTACAGTTGATCAAGCATAATCCAACGATAATCTTCATCTAATAATTTTTACTGTTTGTTCTCAGACTCGTGAAGTCACACCTGCAGATTCCTTTATTAAATGGCGTCAAGGTTCTCCACTCACGGGAATTCATTATAAAGATTCCACAAATGTTTATCTCCATATTTTGCACATGTTTGGAATACAAGGGATGGACAATGATCCTACCTTTAAGCATCATGGAGTTATTTGTGAGATCCAGATCTAATAAACGTATGCCTATGATATATAAACCATTAATTCCCACATTGAAATTGATGTCGAAAATTTATTGAGAGTTTGAATAAAAATAGCAAACATTCTATAACAGTATGACCTATGTGTTAACATAGTTTTATCTGTCATATTGTTTCGTTTTACCAGTCTGACTACTTTGCATTATAAAAATATGGTTGTGAAATTCAGAGATTTTGATATTTGATTTATGCAATTTTAAAAACTCGAAAATGAAAAGTATTACAAACTTGCCTCATTAATTCGAAATAAATTTTGCTCCAATGTAACATATTTTTCGTTGTTTTTTCGTCTGTTTCTCAAAGGAATCGGGTTGAGTTAAAAATAGTTCAGACTCGTTTAATTAAAAGAGCTTATCACATATAAATAGTAAATATATTATTGGGACAATCCGCCAAGAATGTTTGACTTTCCCGTAAGTTAAATAGGATTCGAAGCTAGACAATACATAAGAGGGATGGGGGAGGTAGGGCATTAGGTCGGGGATAGGAAGTCTGGAGGCGATAGGGCAGTTGGTGGAGGAAAGGGAGGCTGAGGGAGATAGGAAAGTGGGTGGAGGATAGGGAGGCTGGGGAGATAGGAAAGTGTGTCGAAGACAGAAGGGCAGTGGGTGGAGGATAGGGAGGCTGGGGAGATAGGAAAGTGTGTCGAAGACAGAAGGGCAGTGGGTGGAGGGCATGGAGGCTGAGGGAGATAGGGCAGTGGGTGGAAGACAGATAGGGCAGTAGGTGGAGGAAAGGGAGGCTGAGGGAGATAGGGCAGTGGGTGGAGGATAGGGAGGCTGGGGAGATAGGAAAGTGTGTCGAAGACAGAAGGGCAGTGGGTGGAGGGCATGGAGGCTGAGGGAGATAGGGCAGTGGGTGGAGAATAGGAAGGCAGAGGGCAGTGGTTCGGGAATATAAAGAACGGGGGAGATAGGGCGGTAGGTTGATAATAGGGCTAAGGAAGAAAGGGGCAGTGGGTCTAGAATGTGAAGGCTGAGTGAGATGGGGAAGTGGTTCAAATATAGGAAGGCTGAAGGAGATAGGGCAGTGGGTAGAAGATATGGAGGAGATAAGGCAGTGAGTTAAAGATAGGAGAGCTTAGGGAGTTAGGGTAGTGCGTCGATGATAGGAAGCCTAAGGGAGATAAGGCAGTGGATCGAAATCGGAAGAATGAAGCAGATAGGGACGTAAATCGGAAAGCCTTGGAAGATAGGGCAGATTATAGAAGATAGTAAGGTTGAAAGAGATAGGGCAGTGGGTACAAGATATGAAAGCTGAGGGAGATAGGGCAGTGAGTCAAAGACACGAACACTGATGGAGATAGGGCAGAAAGAAACACACGCGTGGAGTTGATAGCAAAGAACGCATTGTTCGCTACTAATTAATTTTCGTATGTAGTTGGAAATAAATTACGTGCAACTATATTTTCCCTACATTTGCCTATTCGGGAGTTACATGCCTTGTTTATTTCAATATTCGATCTCGTCATATGATGATAATTCGGGCGCTCTAGAAGTATGTGCACCATGATGGCGGCGGAAACCGGAAAATCGTATGTGTACCAGGTTAGGGACAGCCACAATTTTATTTCAATTTTCCTTAATTTAGTTCTAGTGCGAGTTCGGTGACTAGCCAAGTGACTCCCGTACAAATTGTACCTAAAATTATGGCCTAAACTTAACCTGGTACACATACGACGTTCCGGTGTCCGCCATCTTGGTGCACATACTTCTGGAGTACCATTATTTGTGCATGCTAATATAATATCGAGATTGGCTGTTTATATCATTACTATTACAAACTGACCGCCAATAGAAGTCATGTGTCATCTTAATTATATCTTGGTAATTCGATTTATTTCTTGTATATACGTATTCGGCTATATCTGCTTTTGCAATGCAATAACTCGGACTTGAGAGGTGATTGTAAACGAAAACGAGTTTTTGACAGCCCTGCGTAGTTTTTATTATTAAATCTCCGCTATAGGAGACCCTTATTATCGTTTATTTTGTCTGTCTGTCTGTCTATCTGTCTGTGTGTCCAAGCAGTAACGTCTAAACGGCTGGGCCGATTTAGATGAAATCTCACACGTGGGTTATCTTGTCACGCTAGTAATGTGTGTTTTAAAGAAAGTCCGAATTGGATGTTCGTTTCCATGGCAACAGCGAAAAAACGCGCCGATCGTTTGGTACACTGGTACACGGCGCGGCTCATCGTGCTAAGCGTTAGGAATACGCTCGCCACCGCATCTCTAATTACTCTGCGTGGGTTCGCAGGTTCGAATCCCATGCGAAATGGTTATGTGCGAGAGGATTGCTGGACTTCTAGTCGTCGTAGGGTGGTTTACGTAACCGCTGGACGGTTACGGCTTCCTCCACCATCAAGTACATGCTTGACTAATCCCATACCCGACATGGACTGGTAACCGGACGAGAGGCCGTGGTTCACGATATGGTTAAGCCGTCTTATTGGCTTTCCCCTCCCCCGGGATAAATATGTAAATCCTATCCTATCCCACTTTTCTCGGTACAATGACGTCACCGTATTATCCTTTAGTAAACTGAAATTACGCGGGCCTCAAGCAATGGCGGAGATCCATATTGGGCGCCTACCGGCTTGTTATAATAAGCAATACAAAGCACTTATAGCAGAAATAGCATTTCGAGCTGAATTTTAAAAAATAGGTCACCGAAATGAGATTAAAGAAAAAACACTACAAACTATTCTATTGTTGTAAAATTGCACACACTAAACCACTTGTTATCAAAGAAATTTACCAACTACTGAGCCAATTCAATGACAACTCCGGATAAACCAAATTTCGAATGAGACTCCAGTATAAAGAAAATTTTGGGTCAAACTCTAAATAAGCAGGCGGTAAAAACAAAAACTTTGGAATTGAAGTCTTCGTGAATTATCTGTAGCTACTTTATACTGCCTTGGAGTTTCTGTAGGCTACATTTCTCTCCTTTCAGTAACTAACTACGTCTAAGTTGCCATTTCCACAGAGGTTCAAACATCCTTGTTCACAAAATTACCTACAGAAATAATACATGATATATTACCTAAAAGTTTGGTAAGTTTGATGTCCGCTTTAGCAGTGTACGTCAGCTTGTATAATCAACTTTTCCATTCTCTCTCAACTTACAAATAATTTTAAATAGCTTTGCATTGAAATTTAATAGCTTATGTAACTCATATTTTAAAATTCATTGTAATTTCTCCAAAAATAGAATATTGCAAACAACTAAAATTAATTCTGCAATGTCATTGTTTATTACGCGACATCAGTAAACCGAAACAGCGTCACGAGATAACTGTGTGTATTGTTCTATATATATCCGATTGCGGTAAATTTTTGGGCATAAAATCAAGGCGACAAAAACATATCAGTATAGTTTGATGTCGATTGTATAAAGACAAGTACCTAATGGAATGGTTTGCTGGGTTTTCGAAGTTTGAAAGAAAAGGTTTTAAAACTTCGTAATTTCTAGACGTGATTCGATACGATAAGACATTTCTGACATTGGAATTGTTGCTGTAGTTATTCGGCTACTTACAGAGCTTCAAAGACTAAAATATAAAATTTTATATACTATAAATATGTACATAAGCTATAGCAAGAATGTGAGACGAAAAGAATTGTCAAACTTAGTTAAAATTCAGACCAAATCTTTAGAAATAGCGTCAGGTAAGAATTAGTAAGTTTATTATTTCTAGTCATATGTTGCGTTTGCCTCAGGCGATGAAGTCAAACAAAACGATCGGCGTCGTGGTGTGAGGTGAAGGTAGACGGCTGTTTTAATTTATCATTGCTGACATGACCTGGTCTATAAATGGTTAGGGCCGCTAACTATAGCGGGACACTCTGTGCGATACGGATTGCCTTTTACCCAAATACAAAATTACGATGTAACTTACTTACGACCCTTACGTGTCCAGGTATACAGTATAAGAACGTTGCCATATATGGGGATAATTTATGACAAGTGAATTTATAGGTTACACATTAAATTAGAGCGGAGACTATGGCCTACTATGGACGCATATACTTCGGAGCCTATGTCCCACTGCGGACGCAAGGTTTTTGAAGACTATGGCCCATTGCGGACGCATATATTTCGGAGCCTATAGCCCACTGCGGACGTATAGTTTTTGGAGCCTATGGCGCACTGCGGTCGCATAATTTTTAAAGACTATGGCCTATTGCGTACGCACAGTTTTCGAAGACTATGGCCCACTGCGGACGCATAGTTTTCCGAGCATATGGCCCACTGCGAAAGCATAGTTTTCAGAACCTATGGCCCACTGCGGACGCATATATTTCGGAGCCTACGGCTCACTACGGACGCATACTTTTCGAAGACTATGGCCCACTGAGGACGCATATATTTCGGAGCCTGTGGCCCCATGCAGACGCATAGTTATTGGAGACTATGGCCCACTGCGAAAGCATAGTTTTCAGAACCAATGGCCCACTGCGGACGCATATGTTGCGGTTGTAAGGCGGGCTCAGTAAATAAAGTTGACAAAATTTTCAATTCTCATAAACATAACTGCGATTCTTAGGCACAGAACTAGAAAAACTAATAAATAACATCTAATTTGGACTACGTTAACAACCGGGAAACGTAACAGAAAATTCTAATAAAGTTAAACAAAAACGAATCCTTTAAAATCTTTAGCAGTTAAACGTGATTAAAAGTGTGTTATCTCCCTTTACTGACGGTGTGCCATACATTGGATATTCAAAGTTTTTTTTTAAGAACTTCAGTTAGGTGAAACTCACTGCTTTCTGATCGTAATTGCGTAAACTTCCAGTCTCGCATCGATCCCTATATACTAACGTGTCATTCGACGCCGCCGCAGTCCCTATCGGACGTCAGGGATCGCCCATACTTTGCTTGGAGATCAATTTACAGTCAGGGCACCATTTTCTGAGTTAGTGCGTTAATCCTTACGTTAAACAGATTTCCATAAAATAATCCTTCCACAAGGTTCTTTTGAAATACAATTAAACAATTTTGATATTTCTAGTTATAACGTAAATATCCTGAAACTTCGAGATGAAAATCTCAATCGTTTTTATCTTAATCTACGCCATCACTTTATCCTGGTGTCAAGATGAAACAGTGTTTCACTGCTCACCCAAGCCTGGTTGTCAGATTGCACAATGTGATCCGGTTGCTGTAGGATGGCACAGGCCAGGTTTCAACATTGATCAACATCTACATGACAAAGAGTTTCCGATTACATGCAAATCAAAGAAAACGACAAAGTCCGGAAATAATGGAGACTGGCTTCCTATCATATCTAGGAACATCTTAGGCAAGTACTTCTCACTCTGGATAAAGTCTTGTTAGGCGTCCGTGCAAATATCCTAGGCCGCCAACCATAACTGTTAATATATTCAACTAAATAGAAATGCTGCATTTCAATAGTAATTCCAATAAAAAAGTTCTAAGAAGGACCTGACTGTTTTGATTAATCGAAATTTTTCCTATTATTTACAAAAATTTCACCAAATCTATGATTTTATTTATATAAACAAAGACGGTTGCTTTGGAGTAAAAATGCGAACTTCTCAATCTTAGGTTACTATTGACTAACTACTTGGGTGCTGGAAATACTGAAGTTACAACTACTAAAACTAGGTATAAAACATTTCACACCTATTCTATACTACATCAAATGTATTTTACTTTATTTCATCTCAGATATCAGTAGCATCAAATCAGAATTCAAAGATTTGGAAAAAAACGTCGATAAAAAAATGAAAAGCATTGATAGCTTTGGGAAGGAAATTTTAAGTTAGTATAAATGATTCAATTAGTCGTTACCCGACTTTCTTCAATGAAGTTTGCTGTTAATTTGAGCAAAGTTGACATAAGAACGTTAGATAACTAAAGGAAATGAAATTTGAAAAATCTACCTGAAATTTTGCTTTGATGCTTAGTTATTCTTGCAAAGATTATTAATTTTTACCTATATATATATATCACGCAGAAATTCGTGAGATACAGAATGAAAATACAGAGCAATCTGCCGAAATTACTGACCTGAAGCAGAGCCGTGCAGAATTGAAAAAAGGTTTGTGCAATGTTTATTAATATAGCGATCGATGCGGGGATACACAAATTCATTTACTGTATGAAATCCCAGAGAATGTATATTTTTCTAATAATTTTGAAACCTGGGCAGTGGAGTAGAATTCTGTCATGTGTTTGGAGTTTGTCGGTATTCCAAACGCTCTATATTCGGAATTTATGACTTTTATTGGTGAGAATTTAAAGTTAAAATTCATGTCAAGTCGGAGTCGATTTTTGAATAACTCGGAGTTTGTATTCGATGGTAACTTTTTGCTGCCTCTACAATCCTGTTTCTATCTGGACATACGAACTTAAATCTTAATAACCGGCAAATAAAATGTTGTGTTCTAAAGTCATGAGTAGTCATGCAATTTATGACGTAATAAATACACCACAAAGAACAACACACAAAATTTGAAATCTTTATCTGCGCAACAAATGAAAACAAGTTGAATTAGAAATATGAATAACAGTAATTAGGATTGGTAACTCACAGGCATCCAGTTTCTATGTGATCTTTCTTCCATTAGATTTGGTCCGACTTGAAACAATAAACGACAAGCTACTGACAGAATTGTACGAACAAAAGCAAGGAAACAATGAGATGAAGGAAGGTAAATCACGCAGATATAAGTCAAACTGGCAATTCTGTCATTGAATTAGACATTTTGTTTTTAGTAGATGCTGTTCTAACATACGTATATATTCTTCTATTCAGCAATAGGACGGCTTAAGGAAAAACTCTCTGCAATGGAGAAGACTCAACAGGTTCAATCTGGAAACCAACAGATACCGACGACAACAACCAAAACAACATTGAAACCGACTCCTTCCCCAGGTAAGCATTTATAATCAGAGGCGCAGTGAAGATCTCATTCAGGAGTTTGGAGCCGATTTTGATTCCACCGGAGTCGGGGCTGGAGTCAAATCTTTAAACTTATCGGTTTCCCAGAAAGCTTAGATTAGAAATTCCATATTTTCAATGGTAATAGTGAAAGTTTAATTTTTTACAGAAATTCAAGTTGTCACTTTATTAACATATGCTTACATACGCCCATGTCTTTCTTTCCAAATTTAGATTTTTTTGAGATTTCGAAGCTACAGTTGAAGTCAAAATTGATGCTAACTCAAAGTCAGATATTTCTCAACCAGGAGGCCGATTTTCTCACCTGTACATCCCTGTTTAATACCTACCATACCTTCACAACTGTCGTAAGCGTTTGTCTATAGTTAGCTAGAGTCATTTACTTCTTCCAAAATCTAGCGATCCGTGCTCTAAGAAGAGGTCTGAGACACCTATTGTGAAGTTTAGTGAAATTTGTCATGTGTAAATTAGATATGTGATAGAGGCAAAAAGTGCATTTTCTACGGTGGCGGAAACGCTTTTACACTTTTTAAATTTGTAAAACTGCAAACGAAATTCATTAAATTACAGAAAACTGCGTATTGAAGATTGGAAATATCTGTTATTTTGGTGTGATACCTGGTAGATATGTTGTCAACTACGACAAAGCAGTTGATATTTGTAAGAAACGTAACGCAGATGTTGGTTTGATTCGAGATGAAGAATCTTACAATGCGATTATGGATTACCTGAGAAAGAATATTCTAAAGGAAAGGCCGTGGATCCAAATATGGACTGGAATCCGCTTTGATCCAATGGTTATTGTCATATGCCTGTTCTATTTATACTTTTAAAATACAATGATATGCTATTAGATGGGTAAAATGAAGGCAAATGCAATACAACAACAGATATTTGAAAATATCACACTAGCGATCTTAAAAGGCAACGATAACATTGTTACCAATCCGAGATATTTTACACATTAGTATAGTTGGATTGCTGATTGAAGGAAACCATCTGTCCTGATGATTGTGATGGAAATATGTATGTCAAGTGAATAAGGAATCTGCTAAATGCTTGGTTTCTTCTTTTTCATTACTGTAGATTGCGCTCATAACACATCAGATCCTTTGAGTACAGGGGTCACTGTTTGAGGTTCCGTACTTTTGAAATGTAATACGTATGTACGAGTGATAACGAATATCTTAATCAGTGTTTAATTTTATAGGAATTGTGCTGTTCCTAACAAGTTAATACCCAGCCACATGAACCTAAAGTTTTTTTACAGCATATAAGAGACTATTAAGAATTACAGTTGATCATGAATAATCCAACGATAATCTTCATCTAATAATTTTTACTGTTTGTTCTCAGACTCGTGAAGTCACACCTGCAGATTCCTTTATTAAATGGAATCAAGGTTCTCCACTCACGGGAATTCGTTATAAAGATTCCACAAATGTTCATCTCTTTTTGAATTCGTTCTCGAGAATACAAGGTATGGACAATGATCCTGCCTGGGAGCCTCATGGAGTTATTTGTGAGATCCAGATCTAATAAACGTATGCCTATGATATATAAACCATTAATTCCCACTTTGAAATTGATGTCGAAAATTTATTGAGAGTTTGAATAAAAATAGCAAACATTCTATAACAGTATGACCTATGTGTTTAAATGGTTTTATCTGTCATATTGTTTCGTTTTACCAGTCTGACTACTTTGCATTATAAAAATATGGTTGTGAAATTCAGAGATTTTGATATTTGATTTATGCAATTTTAAAAACTCGAAAATGAAAAGTATTACAAACTTGCCTCATTAATTCGAAATAAATTTTGCTCCAATGTAACATATTTTTTGTTGTTTTTCCGTCTGTTTCTCAAAGGAATCGGGTTGAGTTAAAAATAGTTCAGACTCGTTTAATTAAAAGAGCTTATCACATATAAATAGTAAATATATTATTGGGACAATTCGCCAAGAATGTTTGACTTTCCCATAAGTTAAATAGGATTCGAAGCTAGACAATACATAAGAGGGATGGGGGTGGTAGGGAATTAGGTCGGGGATAGGAAGTCTGGAGGCGATAGGGCAGTTGGTGGAGGAAAGGGAGGCTGAGGGAGATAGGAAAGTGGGTGGAGGATAGGGAGGCAGGGGAGATAGGAAAGTGTGTCGAAGACAGAAGGGCAGTGGGTGGAGGATAGGGAGGCTGGGGAGATAGGAAAGTGTGTCGAAGACAGAAGGGCAGTGGGTGGAGGGCATGGAGGCTGAGGGAGATAGGGCAGTGGGTGGAAGACAGATAGGGCAGTAGGTGGAGGAAAGGGAGGCTGAGGGAGATAGGGCAGTGGGTGGAGGATAGGGAGGCTGGGGAGATAGGCAAGTGTGTCGAAGACAGATAGGGCAGTGAGTGGAGGGCATGGAGGCTGAGGAAGATAGGGCAGTGGGTGGACAATAGGAAGGCGGGGGGCAGTGGTTCGGGAATATGAAGGACGGGGGAGATAGGACGGTAGGTCGAGGATAATAGGGCTAAGGAAAAAAGGGGCAGTGGGTCTAGGATGTGAAGGCTGAGTGAGATAGGGAAGTGGGCAGAAGATATGGAGGAGATAAGGCAGTGAGTTAAAGATAGAAGAGCTTAGGGAGTTAGGGCAGTGGGTCGAAATCGGAAGAATGAAGGAGATAGGGACGTAAATCGGAAAGCCTTGGAAGATAGGGCAGATTATAGAAGATAGTAAGGTTGAAAGAGATAGGGCAGTGGGTACAAGATATGAAAGCTGAGGGAGATAGGGCAGTGAGTCAAAGACACGAACTGATGGAAATAGGGCAGAAAGAAACACACGCGTGGAGTTGATAGCAAAGAACGCATTGTTCGCTACTAATTAATTTTCGTATGTAGTTGGAAATAAATTACGTGCACGACTAGTAATAATTAAATATATCGTATAAAACTATATTTTTTCATACATTTGCCTATTCGGGAGTTACATGCCTTGCTTATTTCAATATTCGATCTCATCATATGATGATAATGTGGGCGCTCCAGAAGTATGTGCACCATGATGGCGGCGGACACCGGAATGTCGCATGTGTACCAGGTTAGAGACAGCCACAATTTTAATTCAATTTCCCTTAATTTAGTTCTATTGCGAGTTCGGTGACTAGCCAAGTGACTCCCGTACTGATTGTACCTAAAATTATGGCCTAAACCTAACCTGGTACACATACGACGTTCCGATGTCCGTCATCTTGGTGCACATACTTCTGGAGTACCATTATTTGTGCATGCTAATATAATATCGAGATTGGCTGTTTATATCATTACTATTACAAACTGACCGCCAATAGAAGTCATGTGTCATCTTAAATATATCTTGGCAATTCGATTTATTTCTTGTATATACGTATTCGGCTATATCTGCTTTTGCAATGCAATAACGAGTTTTTGACAGCCCTGCGTAGTTTTTATTAATAAATCTCCGCTATAGGAGACCCTTATTATCGTTTTTTTTGTCTGTCTGTCTGTCTGTCTGTGTGTCCAAGCAGTAACGTCTAAACGGCTGGGCCGATTTAGATGAAATCTCACACGTGGGTTATCCTGTCACCCTAGTAATGTGCGTTTTATAGAAAGTCCGGATTGGATGTTCGTTTCCATGGCAACAGCGAAAAAACGCGCCGATCGTTTGTTACACTGGTACACGGCACGGCTCATCGTGCTAAGCGTTAGGAATACGCTCGCCCCCGCATCTCTAATTACTCTGCGTGGGTTCGCAGGTTCGAATCCCATGCGAAATGGTTATGTGCGAGAGGATTGCTGGACTTCTAGTCGTCGTAGGGTGGTTTACGTAATTGCTGGACGGTTACGGCTTCCTCCACCATCAAGTACATGCTTGACTAATCCCATACCCGACATGGACTGGTAACCGGACGAGAGGCCGTGGTTCACCATATGGGTAAGCCGTCTTATTGGCTTTCCCCTCCCCCGGGATAAATATGTAAATCCTATCCTATCCTACTTTTCTCGGTACAATGACGTCACCGTATTATCCTTTAGTAAACTGAAATTACGCGGGCCTCAAGCAATGGCGGAGATCCATATTGGGCGCCTACCGGCTTGTTATAATAAGCAATACAAAGCACTTATAGCAGAAATAGCATTTCGAGCTGAATTTTAGAAAATAGGTCACCGAAATGAGATTAAAGAAAAAACACTACAAACTATTCTATTGTTGTAAAATTGCACACACTAAACCACTTGTTATCAAAGAAATTTACCAACTACTGAGCCAATTCAATGACAACTCCGGATAAACCAAATTTCGAATGCGACTCCAGTATAAAGTTAATAAGGCGGTAAAAACAAAAACTTTGGAACTGAAGTCTTAGCTACTTTATACTGCCTTGGAGTTTCTGTAGGCTACATTTCTCTCCTTTCAGTAACTAACTACGTCTAAGTTGCCATTTCCACAGAGGTTCAAACATCCTTGTTCACAAAATTACCTACAGAAATAATAAATGATATATTACCTAAAAGTTTGGTAAGTTTGATGTCCGCTTTAGCAGTGTACGTCAGCTCGTATAATCAACTTTTCCATTCTCTCTTAACTTACAAATAATTTTAAATAGCTTTGCATTGAAATTTAATAGCATATGTAACTCATATTTTAAAATTCATTGTAATTTCTCCAAAAATAGAATATTGCAAACAACTAAAATTATTTCTGCAATGTCATTGTTTATTACGCGACATCAGTAAACCGAAACAGCGTCACGAGATAATTGTGTGTATTCTTCTATATATATCCGATTGCGGTAAATTTTTGGGCAGAAAATCAAGGCGACAAAAACATATCAGTATAGTTTGATGTCGATTGCATAGAGACAAGTAGTTAATAGAATAGTTAGCTTGATAGAAAAGGGTTTGAACTTGGTAATTTCTAGACGTGATTTAATACGATAATACCTTTCTGAAAGCAGAATTGTTGCTCTTCAACACATTTGTTTGCTTTCGAAAAGTTAAAGACTGGAATATGAGTTTATATATATGTATTATATCTAAATTATGAGGCGACAAAAATGGTCAAACTCAAAAATAGACGAAGCGACAGGTAAGAATTAGTAAGTTTGCTATTTCTAGTCTGATGTTGCGTTTGCCTCAGGCGATGAAGTCAAACGAAACGATCGGCTTCGTGGTGTACGGTAAAGATAGACGGCTGTTTTAATTTATCATTGCTGACATGGTCTGGTCTATAAATAGCCAGAGACGACCCTTACTATAATTGGCCCTTTACGAAACGGATTGCGCGGGCCCAATCTAACTGGAGACAAGAAAATTGAAGATTTTGTAATGGAGAGCAATATAGTGCTTACGTCCTGTTACTTTTTAACTGTTTATGGAAGCAGAATTCAACCTATTCAGTCCTACGAGTCCGGTTATGCAGTATAAACACGTTGACATATGATAGTTGAGTTTAATAACTTGCACTTAGAATGAGCGCGGATGCCATGGAGCATTGCGGACGTATAGTTTGCAGTGGCCTAAAGCCGGCCACGTATGTGGTCTATAAATATGTGCATGGTTGAAGTGATTATTAATTTTACTTTCTCGAGTTGCGAGGACACATAAATTGTCCTGGGGAAACTGAGAACCAGTGACCCCCTATAGGAGGTGAACACCCCCGTCCTCTGAAATTTGAAAAGGTGTGGCACCAAACTTCAATTCTTGGGTAAATAAAAATGGGGGCTCCCGAAGTATGCGAACCAAGATGGCGAACATCGGAATGTAATATGTGTACTAGGTTATGGTTAGGCCATAATTTTAGGTATAAATACTACGGGAGGCTCTTGGCTAGTCTTCGAACTGATAATAGGACTAAAATAAGGAAAATTGGAAAAAAATTATCGCCTAACCCTAACCTGTTACCCATGCTACGTTCCGATGTCCGCCATCTTGGTTCGCATACTTCGGGAGCACCTAAAAATGTATACGAATATTCGGAGAGTGGCTCATATGGCAGATCATTCCAATACATAACACATTTTTATAAGTTACAAATAGTTTTATCACTAACACGATCCAGTCAACACACTTACTTTGAACCATGGTGCTCCGCTGGCTTTCCGAGCGTGCCAGGGATCATCAATCTTCTATGGAGCATCTGGACAATGCAGTAAAATACCGAACATTCGGAAATGTTAATATTGCAGCACAGTTGGATGAAGGACGCGCGGTTTCTATTCGTCGGCACAACCAAAACGTCGAGAAAAACCGCCATGTTCTCGGTCGATTGATAGATGTTTTGAAGTTCATTGGTTGTCACGAGCTGTCCCTCCGTGGGCACGATGAACGGGCTGGCTCATTAGAGTAGCAACCTCCTCGTGGAAGTTTGAATGAGATTTGCAGCATTTCAGGGTTACGTATTGCTTTGGAATAAACACAAACAAATTTTATTCATTCAGTTATAACGTAAATATTCTGAAACCTCGAGATGAAAATCTCAATTGTTTCAATCTTAATCTGCGTTATCACGACATCCTGGTGTATGAACGCTACTGAATCAAGTAATACTGGCAACTGGCTTCCTGTCGTAACTCAAAATAGTTTAGGTAAGTAAGAACTATTGAACATCATTTTAATCGTCGCTCCAGAAGTGTATGTACTAATATGGGGGGGTAACTAGTATTATTCGCCTTCAAGTTGTATAAATAGATTGAAATCCATGGGCATGGTGTATATTCACATGGCTAACACAGACAGTCCCGAAACTCGTAATAGAGCTAAAATAAGAGAAATCGGAAAAAAATTATAACCTAACATTGACTTAGTGCACACGCTACGGGAGTTGTAGTTTTCAAACAGTTTGAATAGTTTATAATACGTATATACAAATTGTATAGTAGGCTAATGCTAAGTTAAGAATATAATAATGCTACAGCTAAATATGAAGCACAAATTTTTTCCTAAAACATTAAAATTTCTTTCTTAGGGAGAATTACCATCTGGTTTAATAGAAATTTAGATTCAATTTTTTTGGAGAGTTTATATCTGTTCTTGAGTAAAACGATATTCATTAGAGATTAACAAGATTACTTCCAGGGGAAAAATTCATTTCTCTGGGAGGAAGAATTATAGGAATCTGAAAATGTCAAATTTTCCACCAGAAATTCGCGAGAATCGTAACAAGATCGCAAAACAAACAAACGAAATAAAAGATTTTCGTGATAGAACTCTTCAGCAATCTCGCCAAATTGACAATCTACTGAAGGAAAACAAAGAACAAAACTCTGAAATCAGGGACTTGAGGAAAGGTTAGTAGTGCGTTGTCAAAGATTGACCGTTAGTTAATTATTGTTTCATTAAAATCTAGGACTTTTACAATTTAAATCTGTGAGAATTTGAAGTTGACCTTGATATAAACATGCATACGTTTGGAAATATGGTTTAAAATGAGTATTTACGATACTATTTGCATACTTTCATAACTATATTCATCATACAGAAAGTCGCGAGTTACGGAATAAACTTGTGCTGCAATCAGCCGAAATCGTTGACCTAAAAAAGAGCCGTGAAGAACAATCAAGAGAAATTGGGGAATTGAAGAATGGTTTGTGTGGCATTCTTAATACGGGATTCAATCTAGTGATATGAAAATTCTCTTTGTTGTATGAGATCTCGGAAAAATGGGTTGTATTGTAAACATGCTCCTATTATTCCGATATTCAAACTTGAAAAAAAATGTGCAGTATGGAACTTATACTGAGCGCAGTAATAGGGCACACAAAATTCCAAATCAGCATAACGAATGAACACAACTTGAATTAGAAAAATGAAGATCAATAAGTAGGATTGGTAATTCACTGCACCCGTTGTTCTATGTGATCTTTTTTTTTTGAAACAAAATAATTTGCAAAAAATTAGATATTTTATTCAAATTTAGAGTATAGTCGAGTTACAAGATCAACTGCAAACAAATTGGCTATTTTGGGGCTGAATTGGACAACATTTTGTTTCTGGTAATGATGGAAATTGACGCTAACTTATGTATATTCTTCTATTCAGCAATGGGTCGGATTGAAGAAAAACTCTCTGCAACGGAGAAGCCTCAACAGGTTCAATCTGGAAACCAACAGATACTTACGACAACAACCAAAACAACATTGAAACCGACTCCTTCCCCAAGTAAATTACATAGTCACATATCCAGAAGTAGGCCTATATGTACCAATATAGAGGTAACTAGTTTTGTTTGACTACGTTACATCAAGTTGTGTAAAGGGACTGAAACCTATGTGCAAGGGTTATACTCACTTGGCTAACACAGACAATCCTCGGACTCGTAATACAACTAAAGTCGCAGAGCCGCAGTCGGAGTCAAGTTTGTTTCAACCCGGAGTCGGGAAAAGATTGTATTTCCCACGACTGCACAGCTCTATCCAGGAGACCAAACTGACAACTTTATGAGTAACAGTATATATATAATTGGCGAAAGTAATTTAATTTTCCCTAAACGTCGCGATTTGTGCTTTAAGAAAATGTCTGGCCAGACATCTACGAATGTGGAATTTGCCATGAGCAAAATTAGACTTGGGAACCAAGTATAGAGGCAAAAGTACATATTCATCGGGTCTGTCAAACTTGTTGTTGTGTTCAATAATAAAACTTTTCAAATTTATAAATCTGTAAGCTGAATTTTTTACATTTCAGAGAACTGCAAATTAAAGATTGAAAATATGTGTTATTTTGCTGTGATACACGATCCATGGGATGTCGACTACGACACAGCAATTGATATTTGTAAGAAACGTAACGCTGATGTTGGTTTTATTCGAGATGAAGAATCTTACAATGCGATTATGAATTACTTGGTCAAGAATACTCCCATGGGATTTCGAGGGATCATTATATGGACAAGAATCCGCTTTGATCCAATGGTTAGTGACGTATGTATGTTCTATGTATAATCGAGCAATTTTTAAATGCAACAATGACATTGTTACCCATCCGGGACTTTTTACACATCAGTATAGTTTGACTTGCTGATGATTGTGATGGAATTATGTGAGTTAAGTGAATTAGGAATCTGTTAAATATCTGGTTTCTTTTTGTTAATTACTGTAGATTGCGCTATTTAGCACATCAGATTCTTTGAGTAGAGTGGGCACTGTAGTTCCATGCCTTTTAAATGACATACGTCTGTCCGAGTTATGACGAACATCCTAATCAGCGTTTAATTTTATCAATCCCATGCAGTGATAGTTACAGTGGATCAAGCATAATTCAATGATAATTTTCATTCAAACATTTTCATTGTTTGTTCTCAGACCCGTGACGTTACTCCTGCAGATTCATTCATTAAATGGTCAAGTCCATTTGACTCTTTTCCACGGATTGGAATCAAAAATAAAGATCGCACAAATGTTTATCTCCATGTTGATTCGAAACTGATATGGCACTCAATGGGTAATGCTTCTCCTACCTTGAAGCTAAACGGAGTTATTTGTGAGATCCAGATCTAAAGAAACGTCTGCCTGGTTGTATATTGTTCCTCTTGATCCTATATTTTAAACCATTAATTCCTAATTTGAAATTGCTGTCGAAAATTTATTGAGAGTTTGATTATCAGGATGTTTTGTTTTGCAGATCTAACTACTTTGCATTCTAATGGTATAGATGTGAAATTCAGAGATTCAATGTTTAATTCGGGTAATTTTAGAAATTCTGAAACAAAAATATTATGTACTTGACTCATTGACCCAAAATAAATCCGGCTTCCACAACAGGTCTCTTGCATCCTGGCCATCTAGACAGGGGTGGGCTAGATTTTCAAACCACGGGCCAAACATTTCGTCCACCTAGACTGGGTGACTGACATGTAAGTAAGACATGAAAAGTGAACATTTTATGAACAATATAGTGGAGAACAATAAGCCTCGTGCCAAAACTAAATTTTATTGCAATCTCAATCCCTTGAGCTATTTTTTAGCTGAAACATCAAAATTTAGTTTAGTTTGGTTGTGGAAGCATCAGGCAGGTCAGATTGAATTACCCAAAGAATCATATTTGGGCCGCGGGACGTAGTTTGCCCATGTTAGATCTAGATGCATTCTGATATAAATATGTAAGTAAGGTAACTCACAACGTTTCTACATGAAAATCGGTTGAAACGACGAATATATTCAGATATTAGTCAAATCCTTAAACGTTTGGTTTCTGCGATCACGTGCGTGGTATGGAAGCATTGTTTATATCTAAAGAGGAAAAACGATACGACGACTCAATCTTATGGCGAACCAAGGCCTTCTTTCAGTTACCACTCCATATCGGGAAGGGAAATTGTTAATCGATTAGTTGTTGCTGATGAATGAACTTCATTAGGGATTATTCGCTATTTGATTAAGGCGCCCCCAGAGCAGAGCCAGGGTTAGGCTCTCGATAGTGAAAAAGACATGTTGGATACACCGCCGCTGTATGGTCGATTCATGCTACCTCGTCGTGTACCATAATTTTCTTCCGATTTTCCTTATTTTAATTCTTTTACGATTTCCCACACAGTCTGTGTTAGCGAAGTCAATATAACCCTGCCTATCGTAATCTTTCCTTTACACAACTTGATGTAAAGTAGACGCACAAAATTAGTTACCTGCATATTGGTACACACACTTTTGGAGCGTCAAAATTCCTATATATATATATATACGTTTATGTATATAGCTATTAACAATTACTTAATCATCGAGGCTGAGCCTGCCTCAGCTATACGAAAAGGATACTGGTTAGGGTTGAGAAATGAATAAAACGTCAAATTTAAGAAATCGCAACATAAAGCATATCCACGGAAGTTCGGCCCACTGCGGCCGCTTAACTTGCAAGGGACGCCTATACTTCGAGCAAGTTTGATATCCCTATAGTCCTGGACACGTAGTAGACCTATGGATCGTTTTTGGACACGAAATGGACATAACGATCGTTTCAAAATTTTGTTGTTATTGTTATTTGTCTCCGTCTCCATTTTTGAAAAATCGCTTTTCTCTTCGAATACTGGACCAATTGCTTTGAAATTTTCAGTGGTTAAAGATAAATTTTTTCTCCAGAAGGCTATTACTTTTTTTTTCGCTATGACGTCATAGGTGGCGATACGTGTCCATATATTTGAGCATAGCTCTCTTGTGTTATCATGCTGTTGTATTTGTTGTTCTTTGGCACATATTAAAAAACGATTTTCTCGTCGATTACTGGACCAATTACTTACACTGAAATTTTCAGTGGATGAAGATGGAATTTTTCTCTAGAAGGCTGTTGTGTTTATTATTTATTTCTAAATTTCGTATGAATTCTATTCTATTTGATATTTCGTCCTAAATTTCGCTGTATTATTTTTATCCATGGGAACACGGATTTTAGTCCGCGTGTTGACTGGCTGTACGTTTTGTTCAGCAAATTCTTGAAATTCGGAAATTTTTTGACGGTACCGTTAAGGTGAGCTAGGCTAGACTACTGCTTCGCTTTGCTTTGCGTATCCATATATTTTAGCATTACTCTCTTGGTATTTCAATAGACAGTAATACTTTTTGACAGCATGGGATTTCTTTGTTCGATTAATGTTTCTCCGTTTATGATGTTGTGAACGTTTCTCGGTTTTTCGATCTTCAGTTTTATCGGCAAAGGTTTCCGGGTGAAAGTTGATCTGGTTGTTGTTGTCATTGGTTCAGATCCTGATAATTAAAGTATTGATTACCAACAAACCCCGAGTTGCAGATTTTGTAGATTTTTTTTTGTCTATTTATTTTTTTGTCTTTTTGTATGATCGTGTTAATTTATTAAGTTAATGTGTAATATTGAGTGTCCCGTTTCTTATATTTGCTGCTTAATTTCAGCTACAAGGTGTCGCTGACTAGATGACTCTATGAGTCTTTTCGCGACTCCGCGTCAACTGCAACAAGCCGATATCCATTTGACATTTTGTTACATTATATTATTTATTCATTTTTCATACCGCGCATTGTTTTTTGCATGACGAAAATAAATATCTGAATCTGAAATCTGTAGAGTCGGAAAATACAGTCGGAATTCAATTCCTTTTCATATCGGAGTCTGTTTTATTGCATAATTAGAATCCGGATAAAATTCGGCCTTCGCAGTTTAAGCGATAGCAGTCTATTTTTGAAATCAAACCTCTCAGTTTTTAATGGTTAGAATCCGGTTTGAACTCACAAGGGCTTTGCTAAATCAACACTACATACCTACGTTGTATCCCCAGTTGTGAGTTGTTATCACTGGGAATCTTCGTCGTCTTGGATTCATTTTCCATGCTAGTGACGTCATAAAGTTAACATCTTCCTTCTATAATGAAGTATTGATATGATATATAATGACGCAACAGAAATGTTTATTACATTATGACGCCACATACCTGGCAAGATGGCAGAATTATCGTTCGCTCAGACGGTCCGCCTGAATAAATTAAAGTAGTTTGAATGGTATTCCCGTAATATGGAAACCAAGATGGCGGTCACCGCAACAAAGTATGTGTACCAGGTTAGAATTAGGCCATAAATTTACGTAAAAATATTACGGGAGTCACTTAACTAGTCCCCGAACTCGTATAAGGACTAAAATAAGGAGAATTTGAATAAAATTATGGTCTAACCTTAACCTGGTACACATACTACGTTCCGGTGGCCGCCATCTTGGTTCACATACTACGGGAGCGCCGTTTAAATAGGTGACAGGGGCACTTTTAAGTACAAAAAGTGTTTAGGAAGAATGAATGAGAAGATTTGGTGCTATACTATAGCGTGAGATCTACCTCCACTAAGTACCATGCGGAGATCTTGAGTACCGTACCTCCGTAATACGTGTACCAGGTTAGGGTTGGCCATACTTTTATTTTGATTTTCCTTATTTTATTTCTATTGCGAGTTTGGGAACTGTCTGTGTTAGCCAAGTGAATATACCGCCTGCACATCATAGGTTTTCGTTATTTAACACAACTTTATGTAACATAGGCGAACAAAATTAGTTACTTATTAGTTACCATATTGGTAGTTTGGTACACATACTTATGTAGCGCCAGTCCTTGTTCTACTCACCACATCCTGTTCTTGATGGGATTGGTAAGATTCCTTTCGCAGGTGATCTTTTCGTCCATGGATGTTTTACTCCTTGCCGTGACAAATTTGACAAGGTTAAATCTATTTTGTACGCCGATTGACAAGTTGATAGTGGGGTTTTGTCTTCGCTCATTTTGCTGTTTATCACGTTGTTACTTCGGTTTTGTATTTGCCTCGAAGTGACGTCACACACTGGTCGATAACATATCCGTGCCAAGTGGATTGCCTTTTGTAAAATGAACAACAGAGCGTAAGTCTAATGTATGGACACAAGCTCGTGCATTGAGTTTGCTGAAGGGATTGCTAGTTAAGCGATATGGAATCCGAAATGTTCTCCTTTGTTCATTTAAATTAATACAGCAAAATTTTGGCTGAAATTTCGTGCCCAATAGAGATTTTAAAATAAAATTAAAAGCTGTTTTCCATTCCTTGCAGAGAGAAGTGATTTTTCCCAACAGCAGTGAAAGTAAACCCCAATAAAAACAAGCGAGAATTTAGCAGAATAATACATATGCAAACTTCTTGTTCAACAAAAGAACATTACTTTATACAATGTGGTCCCGAAAGTAGTGCCGGCACTATATATACTGGAATTAGGCCCAAATCATATTTATGGTGGACAAGATTAGGGCAAACTTATTATTATTTGGATCTCCTGAAGTATGCGCACTAAGATGGCTCACAACCTGAACGCATACTTCAGGAGTATGGACACTGTAATAGCTTACCTTGTGCGATTGTGGATTATGACGTCGTGTTGGTGACGTAGGGCGCATCAATGTTTTGCTGACTATTTTATGAATAAACTGATCGTTGTAATTTGAGACCGGCGGCTTAAGTTGAAACGTTGCAAGTAAGCTAAAACGGTTATGGTATATTTTAGGAGACAGTTTTTTTTTTCTTTGTACCTCATGTTGTATGAAAGAGAAATATCTGGGTAACGTATGGAAATTATAGGCTTCTTCCACTTTCAAGTACGGTACTAACAATTTTGAATTTTATTGTTCCATTTGTTTAGAAGGAAAGCAATTTTTCATATCCCAATAGCATTTTAGCAAAACTCTCCGTAATTTCTGTCCGATAATTAAATGTTATTGCTATTTTTCATCGATCAAATAAAGATGAAAAGCCAGTTTATTTTCAAAGGCTTTTGTGAAAAACTTCTAATCGGTGCATTTATCACATTTAAATGGTAAGGCATCCTAGACAGCAAGATTTATAATTAAACTGTTTTATTAGCTTTCTTCTTTGCGAAAATATATTTTCCATATAAAAAAGATAGTTCAATAGGCGAAAAAAGAATAGATAAACCAAGAATAGATAAACAGTACAATACAAAACAAACACTTTTATTGTGCAAACACATATTTATCAGACATAGCCATCCAAGGCTAATAAAATCCATATTCGATTTTTAGTTTTCTATGATGCCTATATTGTTAGCATATATTCCCGACCAAAAATATGGAAATCCAGATAATAATTTAGACTGCCAAGAACATCATTTAAGCTTCGCTAGTTGCCTCAGCTAGCTATAACACTAGTCAATTCAGTGACATTAGATGATGTAACAATATGTCAAAAGATTTTTCTGATTAATTTTATTACGAAACAACACGAATTACGGATTACTGGGTTTGGACCACCCTTGGCCTAATGTATAGATCAGGTAGTGCTTTGTTGCCTCGACTTTAACCAGTAACGGTATTACTTTAAAAACCGTTGCTTCTCATATCACGATGCGCCTTATGCACGAACAAGAACGCAATCGATGCGCCTCATGGTCGTAAAATACGGTAGTTAACCGGTTCATCGTTTCAGACATGTACTGCACATAGCCAAATAGAGTTATTTTAATTTAAAATGATTCTTTTTAACTTACTTGTTATTTTCTTTTGCAAACGGGTATACAAACGGTCGTTGAGCAGAAAGATTCCCGTCTTTTCCCGACTGATTAAATTGCACTGAATTTGGAAATTGACGAAAATCGATCACTGACATTTTGATTAGCTAATATTTCACGATCAATATGGAATTAACTTTTATGATTGTCCTATCGATTTATGCATTTTTCTCTTAATTAAAATAATTTTGATTTTGCACGGATTTTTATTGATTTAACATTGATTATGACGTGATACTAGTGCATATGCTTTATGTGTATTCACGTAAACTAAGCTTTTCCCAGCTTTAGTGACTAAGAAAGCGAATTGTTCCACTTACCTCAGATGGAGTAGAAGAATTGCAGTGTCTACTTATTATTTATTCATTGTTCACGCAATAACTGTGAATAAAGCGTTGGTTTATATTCACGAAAGACTATATTGGCCGTTTTATTAGAGACAAAGATAGAATTTTCATATTTATCCCGGGAGAGAAAAACAGATAAGACAACTTAATCATTTAGCAAATCACGGCCATTCGCACGGTGACCAGTATCTGTCGGTTAGGTAGGTATGGGAATAGAAATCAGTTCTTTATTCCAGATGAATAAACTAATGAGTCTTTAGTCACGTGTTTAATATACCTAAAATTGTAGGAATATGAGCTTAATCGTCAGAAAAGTTATGAATAATAGAAAACTTGTGGTATGGGTTAGCCAGATTTCATGTGAATATGCATCTCCAAATAAAATTAAAAAAAATTGTCATCATATTTTCATATTCGGATTGAATGCTTTTGTCTCCGACTACCACGCTTGAAACACGTCACATGTTTAGACATGCATGATTGATCTCAAAATCGATTGCGACGAGCTTTAATATATTTTTTTAAAGTCTAAATTCTGGTTCTGTTTTATTTTGTTCGCTAACACGTTAGGTTTTATTTATTTTATTAAACACAAGAGGCATGGCAAGCCCTAGAACACGAAGAGTTTTAAAGGAATTGAAGCCGAAGTACGGCAATAAGGTATGTGTTACATTACTGTAAATACTGTCGGGTTGATGTCTGCATGTAACGTTATGCCTATTTCGGTATTTGCTGTGTTCTGGTACACATGCATTTTAAGACCAATTGAAGTAAATAGAGAATATCTCATCTTTTTTCATTTAACCTATATTCAATCTCATAAACTGAGCTTGCCCATTGAGTTCTTATACAATTTCAGAATTTTATTCCTCATGTTTTGAACCTCATTTAACTCCGTAACTGTTTAAAGTTTTAACAACTTTACTGAGTTTTGGCCAGTGCATTTGTCTTGTGTATTATTATTTTTCTCTTAACTAACACATCTGCACATAGTAAACTTCTGGGGTCTAGTATAGTTTAGTACCACAGGTACGTCCAGTGGGCGTAGCATAACGAATTTTGCATATGTTATTCCTAACCCCCCACCTGACTATGCCATCCAAACATTACGTCACTACGACATCGCCATCACGTCATAGGTCTTGCCAAAGTATAATTACGATCGCCCGAAATGACATCTGCGCCGCTGATAACGAACTCGCTAAAGCCGGCGATCTCTCTCCTATCGTGATCGTTGTGACGAGAAAACGAGAAAGATAGCTTGCTCGATTTCGGGTGCTCGTCTGCGCGTTTTGGACGACCATTCGCCTTCTTTGGTGGGCATTATTAAGCCACTGTGTCGTCGAAATGTCGTATTTTTTGGGTGACGTAGTCAGGTGAGGGTTAGGATTGACATATGCAAAAATTGTTGAGCCAGGCCAACTAGAAGTGCATGTGGTACTAAACTATGGTTCCATTACATTTGAACCCACGTACATTTGAACCCATGACAATTGCACCTGTATGCTATTGCACCTATGGAATTTTTTTTGTTTCACGGATAGTTAAACCCATACTAACCCTAACCCATGGGTTTTAGCACCCGCATATAGATTGAACCCGTGGATATACGCATGGGTTCAAATGTACATGGGTTCAAATGTACGGTCACCCTAAACTATACCAGACCCAACTTCTGTAATCAATACCTGACTGATCTATTTCTCTGACTTGCTGAAGTCTGTTCTGTTTGTCTTCATAAGTACTGAAGTATAATTTATTTGGACTCCATAATGAACATAACAGATAATTGAATAATTATGTAATTGACATAATACATTTCTGAGTCTGGATAGCAAACAATACCTTTTGTAAGGTTTAAAATAGTTATGTTTGGTACAGTTTGCTGAGGGCGGAAATCAAAATTAATTATTTAATTAAGACAAATAAAAATACAACTATACATTTTCTTTTAAGATAAGTTTATTTTGACTTCATAATCAGCATAAAGGCGATAAAACGGTTGATAAAAACAAACAAATAAAAACTGATTATGAAATCAGCGAGTGAACAAAACCTTGAATAAGGTTTAAAACGTACAGAATATAAGATGGAAGGTATTGCCCAAAAAAAGTGGTACGTGTTCACTCACCTAAAAGTACTGAGATAATTCATACACACTCGCACACACACACACACATACACAACCATGGGTCATTAGAAAAAAGAAAGAAGCTTTAGATAAATTATATGGTAACAAAAAAATAAATAAATAAACACGTAAAAAAGATATTAGAATAAAAGATAAGAAATGTAATAAATAATAAGAATTGTTGGCCACACCATTTTAATAATTTTGTAAAAATTCCCAAACAAGAGTGAACATTACTTGATATAGATACAAAAAAAAAAGGATTTCGCCAAGCTGATGATAATTGGAGTCAAATGCCGAATTGCCCAACCAAAGTTGCCAAAGTTGAGTACATGAAGAGTATATATCTGTTCTTTTCTTTGTATTGTGATCTACATCCTTTTTTTCAGACTTGTTTCGAATGTGGTGCTCTGAATCCGCAATGGGCATCAGTTACGTACGGAATATGGATTTGTTTAGAATGTTCTGGAAAACATCGCGGGCTCGGAGTTCATTTAAGTTTTGTACGTTCTACTACAATGGATAAATGGAAAGATATGGAGCTGGAAAAAATGAAGGTTTGTAATAATTTTCTCTAATTCGAAGAACTGTCAGGTCATCCATTAGTAAATTTTGTTTTTGCTTGCCCGGTGAAAAAAACGTGGTGCAAAGGTGGTCGTGAGGCGCATTATGTACCAAATTTTAGCGATTCGTAATTTGGCCGAAAAACTCTTCGAATAATTTGCGATTCGATTCGATTTTGAATATTCGGTTCGCTTGGACAGCCCTAATCTTAACTTAGCGGTTGTGCTAAGCGTTAGGACTACGCTTGGTAACACACCTCTAATCACCCTGCGTGGGTTCGCAGGTTCGACGTAAATTCAATGTATTTTTTCCTCTTTTTAACAGTATGGATATTTGTGAACAATCACATTGTGGTTCTGGGATTCTTTCAAATTTCTTCAATTCAACTCACTCTCCACTACATATATTCCAATCTAGTATGCTATTGAATGTTTTAACTTGTTTTCTTTTTTGCCACGACAGGCCGGTGGAAATGAAAAAGCCAAGGATTTCTTCAAATCACATGATGATTATAACGATGGTTGGGATTTACAGCAGAAGTACAACAGCAAAACAGCGGCTTTATTACGAGATAGGGTAAGATTTGATTGGATTATTATTCATTCCTATCGAAGCTAAACTATTCCCATATTTAGCATTGCCTGACTACAGAACTATTGGCCATGGCTGAGCATATAATTAAGTCATCTTATAAGATGTCGGTTTTACTCTAGGACAGGGCTACTCAACTATTTTCACTAAAGGTCCGTTTACAAAATTACTGGGGTTCGCACATTTCAGAAAAATTATTTTATGAAATAAACAAATGCCTTATTAAATTAAATACAAGAGTAATGAATAGCTCACAATTAGCGCAAATTGGTACCAGTACGGCAAACTGTATAGGAATGTATGTTAATAGTATCAAAATCATCAAAAACTATGATGCTTATGCTGCAGAATGGGCGAAAGATCAGGATTCGGACCGCGGTTCGCTAGTTGAGTAGCCCTGCTCTAGGATACAGTGAATATAAAAATATCCTGTGCTATATCGAGGGATGAACAATTCAGAATATTGCATCTAGGGGATTCGAATCTAAAAAGATAGGATCCTAGGATTCGGAGCAGTGGACGAACTATAGCAGGGGTTCCCAAACCAGGGGTCGCGACCCCAAATTGGGTCGGAGTGATAAGTAGGTAGGGTCGCAAACAGGTCATGGGGTCGGTGGGGTCGCTGAGGTATGGTAGAGATGGATGTACAACACATCTAAGATTTGACAAACCATGTTAAATTTAGCAGTTTGTACCATGGCTTACTGTGAAACAGGCTCATAGGCATCGCTCTAGGCTTATTCTATAGAAAATGTAGGTGTTTATTGTGACATCACTGTTCGGTTTTAGCTTTTCTTACTTAATACCACCACATGACCAAACTCAAAAGTCCAGTGAAAGAAGCTCTAAAGTTTCATGAAAAATATATATATTGACCTGGGGTCGTCCTGAAAAAAGCTTGGGAACCCCTGAACTAGAGGCTGTGCTTGCTATAAGATTGATCTGTCTCATTGCTTCCATTTTGCCATAGGAATAGGAACTGATTCTCCAAATGATTAAGCCTTCCCTTATATGATCGCTTAGAAATTATGGATTGCTCTACTGCTATAGTTTAAATACTTTCTATTCTTAGATTTCAACAGAAGCTCGAGGTGACTGTTGGGACGAATCAACATCAGAAGCGCAGAAATATATCGCGCCGAAACCTGGCGGGGGAGGACTTTCTATGACACAAAGGTATTTGTCAATCTGTTGTCGTTTTCTTGACTGTGTGGACTTGAAGTTTGTTTAGTGGATCGCTATCTCTTGGTTACTTCTACCGTCTAACTCTTCTATCAGTACTTTTTTCGTTTCAAGTAACTGGCTCAGGACCTTGCTTCGAGGGGACCTGCAACTTTTCTATCAGTAACACTACTGCTAAAAATAAGCTACAATTGACAAATAGTATTGCGAAAGTAATATAACAGATAAGTTGACAACAACTAAACACTAAAACGAGAATATCGGTCGGAGACCGAAGACTTATCGATCGAAGGTTAGGGGATTCCCCAAAACAGCGCTCTTACTCCGTAGTGACACCATGTGTTCTATCACTAATTGATTAATAACTCGCTAATTATACGACATAATTCGCCCAAAATCAATAGGCTTCTGGTCCGAGATATGATGAATGCACATGCAAAATCTGGAGCAGATTCAATCTCGCCTTTGTGAGATATCGCGTGCATCTAACAGACATACAGACAGACAGACAAGTACCTATCAACATACTTACCGATTAAAATCGATAAGTAATAAATGCTAATTTCCAAAATAAGGCGGGCAAGATCAAATTAAACAAATATTTTTATTTTTTCCTTCCCACGCCATCCTTCTGGGATGCGCGCAGGGATGGCCAATACCGAATAGTTCACTATTTCGAATACATTCGAAATTATTTTTTTCGAATATGAAATTTCGAATACTTCGAAAATGAAATTGACTAATTGAAGCCTATCTAAATGTATGTAGGAATTTCCATACAATAAGCAATGGAATAACTGCTATCTACAAGTTACAACCTAGTTATATTACCAGGCATTTCATATTTGCAGATTATTGCAGTATATATTTTGCAGTATAGTGGTATCGGTGATGGATTTGAATAATCGCGCAACACAAAATCATCCTAGTAAAACGCCCATACTTTTAAATATCAACCATTATCCAAATTATTTGCCAAAAAGCGGGATAAAGTATGAGTTATTTTTCCGACTTGTGACAATTTTTTATACGAATCAAAATTTTTTTATATTCGGAAACTTTACCACACATTTTAAGTCCGCAGATCGCCGTTGTATGTTTGAGTAATAATACTTTTATTATTTTATAAATATGAAAATAGGAAGCAAAAACTATTTAAAATCGGGTAGTTTACCACACATTCTAAGTCCACAGATCGCTGTTGTATTTTGTAAATACAAAAATAGGAATCAAAAATTAATATTAATCGCGAGTTTGCCACACAATTTATGTCCACATATTGCCGTGATATTGTGCCGAATATAATTAGTTTTTGATTCTTATTTTCGTACTCACGAAAAAATTGTCACAAGTCGGAGAAAGAATTTAAACTACCGGTAATTTGGATAATGGTTGCCATTGGTTTGTATTTAAAAGTATGGACTTTTTACTAGGATGATTTTGTGCTGCGTAAAATATTTGAATCCATGACTGATACCACTATTTAAAATGCCTTACCGTGTTAATTTAGTTCTATTATCATAACTCAAATGTTGGTAAATCAGGCAGTTTACCACACATTTCAAGGCACAGATCGCCCTTGCATTTTAGAATTATAATAGTTTTATTATTTTGTAAATACGATTCCAAAATTAAATATAATTGGGTAGTTTACCACGTATTTCATGTCTACAAATACCCGTGGTATTTGGTATTAATACTTTCATTATTTTCTCAATATGAAAATAGGAATCAATATTTAATAATATCGGTCAGTTTACCACACATTTTATGTCCACCGATTGTCCATACAACCATGAGTTACGTTGAGCGGAATAAATTAATTCGACATGACATTTTAAATGCTGGTACCCGTCATGGATTGGATTATTTTGCGCAACAAAAAATCATCCTGGTAAAGGATCGATACTTTTAACTATCGTTATCAAAATTATTTGCCAGAAATTATTTTCTAATAAATCAACTTGTTTTTCCAACTTGTGCCAATTTATTGGATATCGTAACAATGACGGCTATAAATACCGTATTTCCCGGCTAATAAGTCCACATGGCAAATAGGACGATGTCTATTTTTAGCACTCAAAAAAGTTTTTTTTCCATATAGGCCTCCAATAAGACTGGTAGAAAAATTGTGTCCCTGTGATATGCGCTAATAATTTTATATGTTTAGAACCAGATCATGTTAGTTTGGTAGAATCATACTCACAGAATTAACTAATATTAACATTTGAGCGGTAAATTTAAGTTGTAAAGCGGCAATCATTTTGGACAACCTATTAACCCGAATGTTAAAATAATTTTGGAATGTGATAAATACTACACTGTACGTCCACGGGTTATTTCACAGTTGTGTTTTCCCGTCCCTGTCGTGTTCTGCTGAATCGGCAAAACGAAAGGGTCACAAATCACTTTATCTCGGCGGCCATGTTTCTCTTTAAAGTAACGATAACCGGCCTGCGATTGAATATCATGATTGGCAGACCCTAAGACCCAAATATAAGGTTACACAAATCAGGCTTGAGAAGACTAATGAGCAGGCCACATAGAAATGAAATTGGGCCTAGAAAAGCGGTAATTGTCAATTTTTCGACGTGATGGAAATGAATTTGTAAATTAAAAGCCTCGTAGACGAATGTCGGCAATGTCCACCCACGCAAACGTGCAAATGAGTCGCAACACTATGAGACGTACGATCGCACAGAATATAAACAATCAAAGTGCCGATTCTATTTCATCGTCATTACAATTACAATACGTGAGACAGCGTAAAAAGTCGTTTGAAGAGTCCCGTAAAACGAAACACCACGTTTACGGCGAAAAGTGACTACTATTCAAAATTATTCGAAAATCAGCCGAAAAGGTATTCGAATACTATGATATTCGAATATATTCGAATATTCGATTCGTTTTGGACAACCCTGGGCCATGCGCGTCCCACTCTTTGGAACCACTGCTTTCAACTAGAGCTCGACCGATATATCGGCCAACCGATATATCGGGCCGATATTGCGTGTTTGCCGATATCTCATATCGGCCCAACCGGCCGATATATCTGGCCGATATGTATCAGTGTTAGTCGCTTTTCCACGTTCTAATAAATTAGTATTTTTCCCCGGGAAATATCTGCGGCCGAGCGTTTTCTTTTTTTCGCTTCTCTCATTTTGCCTTTCAGTGAACAGAGTTCTCTTCCATATTTCTCTCTCTTTTATCTCTTCGTGCGGCGCAAAATCCTCGCCTTCGAATATCTTGCGTCCCCACTAGGCTTGCACGTAATCCACAAAAATCAATTCTGTAATTACGGCAAAATTGATTACGTAATGACCCCGTAATTGCGATATTTTTTCACACATTTAAACCTATCATAAAAACCATTTGAATCCACTTCTTTTCCGAACGGGACATCGTAATTGGTTTTCATATTACCGACAGTACTACATGCCGGCTACAGATGTTAAAGACAAATACCAAGGAGTGAATTCAAATTAAATTTATTCTGATTTTTATCTTTTGTGTTGGCTGTGATTTTCCTTTATCAACTTCGCAAATTAACCGTCCCAATTTTATGCGATCAATTTTATCATTACCGACACTGGTATACGGGTATTTATGAAACGATAGTTGCCTTTTTTAAAATCGACTTTCGCATTGAATAAAAATTTCGGGTTATTAATCAACGACAAGCGTATTCTCTCGTTTGATTATACCTGCGCTTGCCTCGCGACGGAGACTTGTTATTGCTCCGTTTTTACATTATCCGACTTTGCTACCTAGTTAGCATTTTATAATAATTATTGATGCTGAATTATTGACGATATTGCGATTACCAAGCTTCATTTTATATCAAATCATTTCGCGGCCTAAATGTTATAACGTTATTTGCGATAAATTTAGATCAAATATTAATTATTTAGCCGGCGATAAATTCTTACTCGTAACTCGTTGTAAATTAATGCTAATAAATTATATTTTGTTTTTTAATGCGCTGTGATTTGTATTAATAAAAGTGATTGAGTCGGAAAAGAAAGTAGCCTAGCCTTCTCTCCTTTTGAGCGCTTGTAGCGGCGGTTAAATTCGTCTCATGTCTGTTTCACGGAGAGAAAGAAAAATACGCTTTCCGGAATTACAATCAACTATCACACATTCTTATTTATCATCATCAGCGCCGAATAGAAAAGATACCAAATCTGGAAGACAAAAAACGGACTGTCGGTGTTAATTGCGTTACGGTGATAACGCTTATAATAATATCGTTTTGACCGTGAAACCAAACGCTCACACGGGGTGGCAACGCGTCATGCCGGCTCAAAACGGCTGCGAATACCGGAACTCTAACTTCTTCTACTTGTTAAACTTTCATTTTTTACAATCGACGGAATTGACTGCTTGGAAGGAGCACGTTTCAAACGCGAAAGCGCTCGACCAATAATTACGGCTTTACGTAATTTGTAACTTCCCTTCCGTAACTAGAAATAATTCCGTACATCCGTAAATTACGTGCAAGCCTACTCCCACCTACTACTGTATGTATCAAAATGGACTTCTATAAGCTTTTTACTGACTGCCTTTTTTCTTTTGTGCAATAATGTGTGTTCTTATTATTTGCTGTGAAACTTTTATTAATGATGCAAGCACTGTGTAGGACTGCTTTATTTTTCAACATAAACTTTTTGTTGACTGAAACTGAATGTTTCTTTCTATTTGTATTTACTGCGGATTCAGGTTGTAGATATCGGTATGTCGATATCGGTTATCGGTCACTAGTTGGCCGATATATCGTTATCGGTATCGGTGCCAAAAAGTGATATCGGTCGAGCTCTACTTTCAACATTCATTTGAGTCAGGGGTTCAAAGCCATCGGTTCATCTCTAGCGAAAATTAACCCAAATATAATTATAACTCGTGAAATCTCTGCGATGGCTTGTGTGATTCTTCAATCTATCTTCTATAACATAAATTAAGAAAAGCCAATCCAAAACCATCTCTATCAAGAAAGAACCTAAATATAATAATAATGGTGCATGCATTCATCGCTTTTTTAACCGTTACTCTTTTTAGTTCTAATTGAAACCTAATTGAAACCCAGAACATCACTTTAAACAAATTTGCGGAAATTGAATTCCTAACACGAACGAATTTTTCCAGTTATTTCTTGTACTCAGATCAACAGCTCAATCATCGATGTCTGGCAATGCCTCGTCATCTGATTTTGATAATTTTGAATCGTGGTTAGACAGCGATACGTCAGCGCAACTCTCGTATTCAAGCAACACTAACACAGGTTTGTTTTCTTGTTATTGTGCATGAAATATATCAATTTTCCATGGACCCTCAGGGCATCGCAAGAGAATTTTCAGGGGTTCATAAACTTAACATGAATATATAATATGGAATGAAAAAATATCAAAATGAGATGCTGTCTTCATGGCCTAAACGTCAAATAAAGTGCAATTGTATAAATGAGGAAAATCAGGCAGAGGTGAGGGAAAAACTTTGACATTTTGTCTTCATTCTTTAGGCCTACATTTTACATGCTTTAATAAGGTGTAAAGTACTCATTAACTATCACAAAAATTGGGGCTCCCGAAGTATGCGAACCAAGATGACGGACATCGAAACGTAACATAGGTAACAGGTTAGGGTTAGGCGATAATTTTTTTCCAATTTTCCTTATTTTAGTCTTATTATCAGTTCGAAGAATAGCCAAGAGCCTCCTGTAGTATTTATTTATACCTAAAATTATGGCCTAACCCTAACCTAGTACACATATTACATTCCGATGTCCGCCATCTTGGTTCGCATACTTCGGGAGCCCCCAAAAATTGTTAGTGTCATTTGAAGGCAGCAATTTTTCTTTCATGTAAGTCCGCTGGGAGTTTTTTCCTTGATAATTTGGCGCCACAAACAAAATGTTTGAGAAGCACTCACCTATCTTATCAGACTGGAATTGTTCCTTTTCAGCATTGTGTATATACATCACAACCTAGCATAGGCGGTTGGCATTGGTTTTTGAATTAAAAACTTCCAACATGTGATGGCAGCATAGTTGAGTACATTGCTTAAACCATCAGGCTATCATGCCTACCTTAGCAAGACTTAGATCAATTTCTCTTCATATAAAATAAAAAGCTTCACAATTATCCAGGCTCAAGATATGTAGGAATAGGAAATACACCCATGCCTGAGAAGAGAGAGGACGATCTCCTATCTGGTGCTATGTCTTCGTTAAGTATGGGATGGCAAACTGCAGCTAAATGGACGGCTTCTGCTGCAACGGCTGCTAAAGAGAATGTAAGTGACAAAGTTTAAGTTTATGGATTTAAAATTGCATGAAATTGAATATAAGAAATGATTTGATTTGTCAGTTTCCAGGAAAACTTCCAATGCTCGGAATGACGATTTTTCAAATTAAATTATTCTGAATTCTTGTTGAAATTAAGAAAATGGAGTAGAATTTCCATATTCATCTTGAGAAAGGAAACACAGCTGTAATAAGACAGCTTAAACATATGATGAACCACAGTTTCTCATCCGGTTACCAATCTATACAGGGTATAGGAATATTTGACCAGGTATATTTGTTTCAGATGCATGGACTTGATGATGATGGAGAAGTCACCCCTATGGCAGTGAGGGGTCCAGTAATCCATATTATATTATCTCCTAGTCACATCCAGCCAATTTTCTAATTATCAATCTGAACAAATATTTCTCATCTAATTCAGTTTGGGCAACCCATATATTGACCATGGAAATAGTGTGAAAACAGTTAATCCACTCCAACCCCCGGAATATAAACATGGTTGTCTGCATTTATAAGAATATTAATTCTTATTCAGACACGCACATTCTCGACTTTTCTGTCATTAACTACCGAGATAAAATGTGTCATTATCACTCACATGCAATATTTGCTGCTCAAACATCCTCGTTGGCGAAAGGAATTGTCTATTTATGTTCGTGGTAAAACAACTTAAAAGCAAACAATGCAAATTGTGTTAACTCATCAGTGTGAAAAATTATTTTGATTTTGCACATGAAGACTGTTCTTGATTATAATATTCCTTGTTAATTTGAATATAGACGAGGATTAAAACAGTGGTTCTCAACCCTTTTTCTTTTCTTGCCCACTTTCGTTGCAAAAAAAATCTGGCCCATCAGCTTATTCATACAAGAAATAAACTACGAAAAAAATGGAAGAATTTTTTCCACAAAAATAAACATTTCCACCTTTTTTTATTCAAAAAGAAAACGAGAATATCGGTCGGAGATCCAAGACTTATCGATCGAAACTGCGATTTCGATTCAGGACTCTATAGTGACACGGCGTGTCACATCACTAATTAATTAATAACTCGCTAATTGTACGACAAAATTCATCCAAAATCAATAGGTTTCTGGTCCGAGATATGATGAATGCACATGCAAAATTTGGAGCAGATTCAACCTCGCCTTCTTGAGATATCGTCTTCATCTAACAAACAAACCGGCATACAGACAGACAGACAAATACCTATCAACATACTTACCGATCTTAAGATTGATAAGTAATGACCACTCAGTTCCAAAATCAGTATTATTATTCTTCGCTACTTCAATCAAATTATATGAATCTGTCAATGACTTCAGCAATTTTCAATTGGTTAATGGCCCGCCCGAAGATGTTTCAGTGGCCCAGCAGTGGACCATGGCCCACTGGTTGAGAATCGATGGTTTGAAAGTAACGCCGTTAAATAACTAAACTCTTCGGTCTAGTGCTGTGCAAGCGAGGACAGAAAACTCACTTTACTCCAACAGAAGCAGAGACTCAAATGTATTGTCGTAAACAAATTCACACAACTACAGATCACGTAGTCAAGAACGCGCGCACAATAATAACAGAAGAAAGCATGATAATCATTACAATACCAATCTGGTGTAGCACAGTTCATGTTCCGCACATTCTCTCTGTATAAGACTTAAACGAGTAATCATTGACACAAAACATTTTTCCTGAGTTCAGGCATTTCAGTTTTATATACTACTTTGGGTATCTCAAACTAAATAATTCTTTTCTTTTTTACATGTAGGCTGTAAAGCTTGGAGCACAGGCATCAGCTGCAGCATCTGACCTGGGTTCGAAGGTCAATGAAAAGGTCGTGAAACCGACACAAACTAAAATGAAAGAAGGCAAAATGATGGATGATATAACATCCAGCATGAGTTCCTGGGCCAGTAAGGTAAGGTTACTGTTACAAATACTTTCTTTAAATTTTTCCCAAGTATGGCAGTAGATCCTATTCTTCTTTTTAATACATTATTCGCTTTCGCCCACTTTAAAACTCCAAATTACTCCTAATAGGAACTTTTAAAGGGAATCCTATAGCTATTAGGATACATCATTATGTATAACTCTTCTCCGTTTATCGGTAAATCTTAAATGTATTGCTTGTATTTTTACTCAGAGATAAAATTTCTTCACTTTTGAGTTAGTGAAAGCGGCCTTGCTTTCTCTTGCAAATAAGAGAATTAAAATTAGGAAATATTCCAAAAATTTTAAATCCGGAACTCTTTTAAAAAAATAATTTTGATGAATAACGAATATATTCTAAAATGGACGGAAAAATTTTACCAGAAAAGTTTTACCATTGTAAACTCATAGAATTTTAACTTGTAATGAAGAATCTTTAGAACAGGGGTTCCCAAGCTTTTTTAAGGACGTCCCCAAAGACAACTTTCAAAGTGCGACCCCAGGTCAATATATATATATTTCATGAAACTTTAGAGCTTCTTTCACTGGACTTTTGAGTTTGGTCATATGATGGTATTAGGTAAAATAAGCTAACACCAAACAGTGATGTCACAATAAGCACCCACATTTTCGATAGCAAAAGCATAGAGTGATGCCTATAGGCCTGTTTTACAGTAAGCCATGGTACAAACTGCTAAATTTAACTTGGTTTGTCAAATCTTAAATGTTTTGTATATCCATCCTCTACCATACCTCAGCGACCCCGCCGACCCCATGACCTGTTTGCGACGGTACCTACTTATCACGCCGACCCAATTTGGGGTTGCGACCCCTGGTTTGGGAACCCCTGTTTTAGATGGACATTGTTTCAAATAATATTCTTTCATTTCTCAGCTGTTTCTAAACCTTATTTTTTTCTTTCTGCTTTTCCCAGATGAAAGTAAGAATTTATTTTTAGTGTGATGACTTCATAAATATATCGTTGAATTTGTTGTTGGGTCGATCTGTCTGTTTGAGGTGTTTGTACTTGTTTGTCTTTGTCTCTTAGTTTTTGAGTCTTTTCATTTATATTGGGGGTTGGGGGGGAGGGGGGTGAGTTGATAAAGCTGTTTAAGCAAGGTGAAATACTTTCTAGATCAGCGTTTATCGCGATCTACTTGTCACGGCCAAATATGCTTGTGACCCCAGGAACTGAAAGTAAAATTTGATAATATTATAAAATATAATTAATTCTGAATGAGTGAGCGTAACTTTGCTCAGAAATGTGTCTCTGTTACTTCCAATATCCAAATGCGTAAAGTGTATTTGATTTCTTGCATGTAGAAGTGAAGTTATTGTTTATTGTCTGCTGAATGAGTGTGTCATTGCTTTGAGCAAGTTATCTCGAATAGTGTAGAAAATTCTTTTCATTCCAGATCTCATCATACAGTAAATCTGGATTCCAAAATATAAGCAGTGCAATGCAAGGACAGGAGGATCAGAAAAGGTAACTTTGTTATTTACTAAGTTACTAACTAGCATAGAACATGTGCTTTCGAATGGGTTTCTGCGAAACTTATCTGTATTTAATGCTTTTGTGTCGGCAGATCTGTATGCATATAATGCAAAGATGCTGTAGCAAGAGTGAAGATTACTATCCTAAGTGATTCAAGAGTCTTGCTGCACACTAACATGAATTTGTCTTGACCCAATAATGATTGCATAAAACAGGGGTGTACAACAGGCGACCTGTACCACTACCCGTCTAACATCCAGATTTTTCCCCATTAAGCATGAAATCCCAATCCGACAGGTTATGTTCATGAGGGCTCTCACATGAGTAAAATACGTAATGTTTTTTGGCTCTTGTCGCTGCCTAAAATATTCCGCTATTTTACCCGTTGTCTCCTTCAAATGAAGCCCATCAAATGCAGATGTGGAAGTTGACTGATGAACGCTTACCAAGTCAGTTGCTACAACTTCTGTCAAAGCTGATGTCAACAAACTATGCAAGAAAACATCCCACTAAAATGTTAAATAAATGAAATTTTTATTATGTGAATTTTTTAATTTATTGTGTACATGGAAACAATTTTTTTGTGTGGCCCAGCTAGATGTCGCACATCCTTGACTCGGTACGTTTGTAATAGTGTCCATGTAGTCCTATCCGAACATATCGCTCCTTATCAATTATCAGAGAAAGTTGTACAGGTCACTGCTGGAGCAAAAGGTATATTGAACCTTGAACTGAGCATAAATGAGAAAATGGTTGCTGTGATCTACAGCACACTAATTACTATTGTTTATTTTACTAGTGAAAACGTCGATACTGATTTCTGGGATCATTTTGGAACTTCAGACGATTACAAGACCTCTGTGACATCACAAAGCACAAAATATGGCAGCCAATCAGCTCCTCCGTTAGAATTCGATGAACTTACGAACCCTAAGAAACCAGCTGTGAAGAAAAATGCGGAAACGGATTGGGACCTGGAGGCGTGGCTCAATAATGATACTTCAACAACCAATGATAAAGACTCTAAAACAGAACCGACCAATGATGATGAACTAGAGGCGTGGCTTAATGATGATTCTCAAAATTCATCCAATCAGAATAGTAGAAATGAAAAATCAACCAATCAGAACGTAGATAGACAAGATTCGTGGGGAGGGGGTTGGGACGATTCTGGCTGGGATGATGTAGAAACAGAAATTGACAGTACAAGTAAAAAAACATCGAAAGCAGACTAAAAAATAAGTTGTAAAAAATGTTAAATGTAACATACATTTTGTGGTAAATAGTCAACTTTGCATTTCCAAGACGATAAAATGGTTTAATCATATGTCAGTAACTACTTGGGGGTTGGTAACCGATCATCTCCTTATAAGACCATCTTTTCTATTTCCCAGTTCAAATATCAAAATATTCTGAGGGTCTACATCAGTGGTTCTCAACCTTTTTTCTGTCGTGGCCCATTTTGTTGCACAAAAATTCCGTGGCTCATTAACTTTTCCATGCCAGGGTGAAAACTATAAGAAAAACAAATAATATTTCCCGCCATATAGACACTGTTGTAACTTTAATAATTAGAATGGATATCACCACTCTGCAGCAATTAACAGCAGCATCATTTATTGCTACTGCAATCAAAATTTAGCTATTATTACACGAATGGAACTAAATTTACCGACAACTCTTGAATTTTTATTAGGCTTGTGGCCCTCTTGAAAATGTTCTTATGACCCAGCAGTGAGCCATGGCCGTGACCCATGGTCTACATGGAAGGACCACTGATAGTAAAGTTACGAGCATTTACATTGTCTCCTGTAATCTATATTCCCGTACCAAACTTATACTGATAGGGCGGACGAGAGTTTGCTATAAAATTTTCGCAATTAACTTTCATTTTCCAAAGGTGAATATTCATTAAAATCCTGGCCTCGCCATCTTAAGCCACAAGACTCGAGCTTATAAGAAGTACTAAAGGAAGGCTACCATGAGCATTTTATTAACTTTACTCTCCGCTGTCAATCTAGCTACCTATCATAAGGTAGAAGAGTTGCAAGAAACCACTGAGAGGTGCTTTTAAACATTCCCATGTTTTTAGTGCATTGTACAATACATAGACAATTTTATCTTGTTTTGTTTTAGATCAAGTTGTGTTTTTATTTAATACTATTAAGTTGTTGTAGATATGAGAATGAAAGCTTGCCATCGGGAAAATGAGAAAAAGATTTATTTTAGAATTTTAAACCTCTCTAACTTATTATTGTAATACGTTGTGATTATTGCTCCAAAATTTGATTAGAAACAGCTTTTTTTTCATAATTTATTTAAAATATCAACATTCGCGCCTTTTGTCCTGAAACTGCCGGCATACAAATTAAGTTCGTATGGGAAGTTTTAAAACTTTTGGCTCGGACTTTCATGGCAAGTCGTGACGTGACACAGTTTTAAAACGTGATACTTAAAGATCGCAGCCTGAGTATAAAAGTATTTAAATTTCGTTAATTAGTCGAATTACGCCACCCCATAACTTCGATGCAAACTTCAAGCATTTATTCTGAGTTTGAAGTCTAATGGTTCCCGAATATGATTTAGAAGGAAAATAATACTAGAGATTTGAGAGCATTCACTTTTGAGCCATATTTGGTCCCAATGCTAAATTCAAGCATATTATTCTGAATATATGAAATTTAATGGTTTGTCACAAATAAAATATAATTCAGAAGTTATTTGAAATCCCAAGTTCGACCGAATTAAATTTTTGGTCCGAAATTATGCTTTGGCGACCGATTGCGAACTGCTATATTATTATTTTATCTATATTGTTGTCTTATGTCTGTAGGTAATATTGTGATGTTTTATTTAAATAATATATATTATGAAATGGTGGCTTTGACTTTATTAACTGTGGTACTGTCCAACTGTGGTGTCAAAAGGATATGAGGCGGTTGGCACATTGTGCTAGGCATTTGGAATACACTTTGTCATCTTAACTCTGATTACCCTGGTAAGTCTGAATCCCATCAAGAATATTTATTTGCAGGAGAATTGCTAGACTCCTCATCGACAAAACGGTGTTTTTTACTTAACTGCTGGTTTGTTAATCTTTATACACCACAAAGTTAATGCATCTAAATCAGGAGTTCGCGAACCCCCAATGGTTCACGAGAAGATTTCAAGGGGTACTTGGATGACAGTTTAGTTTTTGTATGTTGCTGTTTTTTTAACATCCTTTATTACTTCCATGGGAAAATGCAGGTCCATTGAAACTAGACGCCAATTGAAACGTAGGTTTTTCCTGAATTTGCGTTGTTGTGATTATGATGCAACAATGTGAAATTCAAGGCTTTGTATACAAACTGTGAAATCTGTAAAGACAGCGTGCTGCGAGCATTGGAGAAGTGATTATGCTTATTATAATAAACTTGGGAGAGATTTTAAGAATTCATTAGTTAGGCAGACGACAAGAGCAATAATATCAACAAGACGATTTAATTTAGTTACATATGGTTAATATATTGGTGTTGCAAGTTGCAACTAATTGTTAGTTAATATATTAGTATATCACAACTTTGTTCGGTGTCTGATTACCGGTGGTTCGCGTTGATTGTTTTGTGACATGGGGGGTGCTTGACAGAGGTTGAAAAACCCTGATTTAAATAATTCGCTGGACTCCTTGCCTCAGTAAGGTGGTTCACGTAACTGCTGATTGGTTGCGGCTTCCTCTACCATCAGATTCATGCTTCTGAACACAAATAACTAGCTAACTAATTTAAGACCCGACATGAACTGGTAACTGGACGTTCGCCATAGGATTTAGTTGTCTTGTTGCTTCTCCTCTCCCAGAAAAAATATGAAAATCCCATCCAAAATAGCTCATGTTTCAACATCTCTCGATGGCGAGCCATGACCTTTTTGTATAATATAACTGTTGCTGTTTTTCGTGATTGTTTTGACATTACTTTTGAGACTGACGTCAATTGGTATTTACTAACACATAATTCTTCACAATATTTTGTTGGTCATAGCACCTTGGATAGGATTTACATGGGGCTCCCGAAGTATGCGAACCAAGATGGTGGACATCGGAATGTAATAGGTGTACTAGATTAGGGTTAGGCCATAATTTTAGGTATAAATACTACGGGATGCTCTTGGCTAGTCTTCGAACTGATAATAGGACTAAAATAAGGAAAATTGGAAAAAAATTATCGCCTAACCCCAACCTGTTACCTATGTTACGTTCCGATGTCCGCCATCTTGGTTCGCATACTTCGGGAGCACCATTTACATATTTGTCCCGGGGAGAGAAAAGTAGATGAAATAAAAGCACTTAATCATATGGCGAACCATAGCCTCTCCCCCGGTTACCAGTCGTTGGGATTAATTATTTCTGTTCGGAAGCATCAAATTAAAACTTTGCGAAATAGGGGCCCTTCTTTGGGGTTGAGTAATACCTCTATTAGTCTTTAACTCACCCCCAAAAAACAGACAGACTTCTTATATTTCTCCCAGGATGGGGACAGGCTTGATTAAAAAGTAATGTGTGATGGCCAGCGCAGCTCATGTCACACAGAATAATCTGCCAACCATAGAGCATTTTTTTGGTTTGTTAAAAATCGACTCTCACTGTTGAAAAATATACTCATCCTCTTCCAAGCTTTGCTCAACTACACCACCTATATAGATAATGACACATCACAATACCATTTCTTAAAAGTTTTATTACTAAATATTCAGAAATCAACAAATTGGTTTAAGACTACCATTACATTTATCGAAGTTTTATTACTAGACAGCAGTTTTTATTTTCTTCAGATCGGAATGCACAAATGCCGAAACAGTAAAATATATGAAAAGTGGAAGGTAAGCATTGAATTTGTGAATTTTGCCTTTTCTTGATGCAAATCATATTATGGGATTCAGCAAGTTAGAGCTTATTTGTTCATACTAACTTAATTCTCGGGTAAGAAGTATCATGTTACAGACTTTTCATTAGCTGCGATCTGGCTCTCATGGGTATTGGAGTTCCCTCGGAAGTTTCAAAGAAAGCTAGTCACCATTTATTGAAGATTCAAAGCAAATCAAGTAATCTAAATCAGCGATTTTCAAACTGGGAGGCCGGACTCCTTTGGTAGGTAGCGAAAGGGCTCGGTGGCGGTCACAGTAAAATCTTTTTTGAGGCTAACTTTGTTAAAACAAAATATCGTTCAAATTTCAATGATTGGCCGGTACTAATACCCACTATTACCAAAATAGAGCTGAGATCTAAGATTCAACCACTTTTTGTGAAAATATGCAAGCACATCGGTTCATTAAATGTAATGTCATTTTTTTTTCTCCACATTTTCTGTGTTATTGAATTTTACTTACTTTGGTGCCTGGGGACGCAAAAAAATTTGGCCGTGCCAAGTGGGTTGAATAAAAAAAGTTTGAAGGACACTGATCTAAAGGAATGGCTCTGACTTATACTCAATTAACTGCCAGTAAAATTGACCCAGTAATTCAAAGCTGAACTATTGGCCAGTATCAAACTTTTCTCGGCCGAAAGTAGAGTCTATTAAAGAGTGACCCTTTACTCATTTGAAACATATTTCCGAGAGAACATAACTTTTGAAGGAAAGTTCAAGATTGCTGAAACTTGTGTTAATCCTGACAAACTGAAGTGTTCTCAAGTTCATAGAAGTAATCAGAAAGTTTGAGATTTTTTTTTAGATGAGGGGGGGGGAGGAATGGAAATGTTAACAAACATAAGCCCTGGTTACAGAGAATCTCCATACAGTTTGGTTATTTGATATTTCCTCTTTCCATTGAAAATTGATTAATTTCTCTCTAACCAAATAATTTCATTTTTGAAAATATACAAGAGTGAAAGTTTGCAAATAATCAAGCACCTAGATCACTGGTTCTCAACCAGAGGGCCACGACCAACTGCTGGGCCATGGAAAAATTTTGTGGTGGGCCACAGAACAGAACTACTGAAAATTGCTAGTTTTTTTTTTTGGTATTGCTGCACACTTACACAAATATATTTCTGTAATGTAAGCATTTTACAATGCTTGTCTGAAGAAGTCTGACTCCGGTCAGACGAAACGTTACAGATATATATTTGTGTTAGTGTGCAGCAGCCCTTGAATTGAATAGTTATTTTCACTCTTGCTATAGCTTCCTTGCGTTACACGCTTACGAATCCATCTGCGCAAAGGCATAGAGCAAGGAAAGGTAGTTAGTTTCATGTAACCCCATCTGTTAGTTTCTATCACTATCCTTAATTTTGATTGTAGTACCAATGATTGATGATGCTGTTTTCTGCTACTGAATGGTAATTTCATTCCAATTATTAAAGGAAAAGTGTCCATTTTCGCAGAAAGATTATGATTTTTTCTAATAATCCCTCACAATAAAAATTTAATGAGCCACAAGAATTTTTGTGCAACGAAAGAAAAAAGGTTGAGAACCACCGACCTTGATTAAAAAATCGCAATCATGGCCGACTAGATGGTTAAGGTTAAAAAACTTCAGAAAAATATTCAGAATAAAAAAGCGAATAACTGTTGACAACAACATTATTAAATTTGCTTAAAGCAAGCTATGATTCTTAATTCCAAAGCTCTGCAAAAGTTGTATGTTGATAGCATATCTGAATATGCTGAAGCCCAGTATGTAATTCACAGCGGGCAGTCTCTCTGTTAATCAGAATCCGATTCCACCAATGGGATTCAAAGCAGTGGTCACCTGATATTGAATTGACCAATCAGACAAGCAATGCAGGGGTTGGTTTTCTTCCGGGCCACGCCTCTTTAATATATTTCTTCCTGGGTCGAGTTTCATCTTGTTCGGCCCGCATGCGAACAGCTGGCGCCACCTTAAGGGCAGTCTGTATCTTAACCTAAATAACAAGGAAATGAATATATTTTGTTCAGTATTTAAATGTTGTGGAAGAAGTGGTATCGCGTTGGGAACATCACAACACTAGTTAACATGTATGGGTCCACACCCCTACAGCTAGTAAGGATACATAAAATAGACTGAATTTGCCCTGAAATTGGATTATCGGAAAATTACGAGGATTCATCAATAATAATAAATTACGGCTTTTCCTTCTGTATACGCTTGTGGATCTGTGAGACAAATCTAAAAATAGTGTAAATACTTATGGAAGAGTTGAAAACCGTCTAGTAAACAGTAGTTCATTTACTCTCCATACTGGAAGCACACTTGATGTACAAATTGCAATAAAAAGGCAGCAATCGAAAAGACTTGAAGTAATTTAGGACAATACAGTTAGAAAAATTAAATATTCAACTTCAATCAAGGGTATAGCCAGCGAGGAGGGAGTTGAGGGTCGGACGCCCTCTTTCTTGAAATGTGAAAAAAAAATTTTTCTGTATCATAAAAAGCAATTTTTCCGCAGCTTGAAATGCATTTTTTAGACCTCTAAGGCTTAGAAACCGACGATTTCTGGCATCTAGCTGTTACAATCTAACTTGGCAATTAGAAATCTCAGAACCACCCTTTGAGTACTCCTGGCTATACCTCTGACTTTAAAAAATAAATTTAAAAAAATAATGCATACCTCTGGTTCCATTTCTATATCTGGAGCAGGGTTTGGTAAAGGAAGTGAAAAACCAGCCATGCCCGACGAAGCTGATGGTGATGTCACAGTAGCAGGTTTAACAGCTGATTTTTCATCTGTGTGACGTTATAATAGGATTGTAAGTAATGATTTAAACTAATACAGAAAATTCAAGAAGTTCAGTGGCAAAACCTTAACCACTTAATGCCGGAATTATGAACCGCTGAGAGGAAAAAATCGCCGCTTCGGTTATTTGCTAATTCAAGGCCGTAGAATACGAATTTAAACTTATTTTTTTTATTTTACCCCCCAT